CTCCCGTAATTCTTGGAATTTCAAACTAAAATTTTGCAAATACCCCCAGATAGTTATTATGTGTCCTTATGCCAAGTTTCATGATGATCGATCTATGATAGACCGATTTAACAAGAAGTTATAGCCATAAATATATTTGCTGCTGCAGCGCTGCCCCCGGCTGTTGTTGATGTTGCTGTTTGGTTGACTGCTAACATGTTTACACAGGCACGAATAGAAGTGAGCATAGGCATACATACACTCACACAGACGCAATTGTACACCATTTACGTGAGTTCGAATACCCAGAAAGGTAAAATTTTTAATTGGTTTAAGTCTTGGCATTATTTATTTATTTATTAAAAAATTAAATTTTTTCAGTTTCAACTATATTGTTTCTACTTTTTTTTCCAACCAAAGTAAAACGTATTTTCCACGATTTAAATTTGCAAAAAGCTTTCCTTTTTTAAAATTTAATCATGTAATCTGATAAATATTTAGTAAAATTAATTACATTCTGAAAGAAGAATTTTTTTGGAAGAAAATTCGAATAAAGGAAGAAAATGTTGTCGTTTCTATTATTTTTTCCATCACTGTATGTATGTATATGTATGTACATATGAGCGGCAAACTTTTTGAGATTGCAACTTTACGACTTTGCACAACAGGCGAAATATGCAGAGCAAGCCCCCCCCAAAATGCAATAATAATCGGGTACATACAACACCCTACGCAGAGCATTGCTATTCGAAATACAAGTAAGCTGGCAGATAGGGCGTGTGCAAAACGGAGACAAAGGATTAAGAGACTGCACTGTGGGGCCGCGACTGGTGATCCACAATTACGAGCACGCAGCGCTATCTCTAGAGTGTGACATTTAATGCTAATTATCGGGGTCGTTAGCACACAATGACGACGACGACGACGACGAATCGATCGATCTTGTCGCCGCCGATGCCGATGCCGCTGCCGCCCCCGAATCAAACAATAGCCGCTGCCATATTAGAACCACGTACGCATTCCGATTTTGCTTGTGGGCGCACCTTATCGCCCGCTCGCCGATTCGCTTGGGCGCTACAATTTTAGAAACATTTTCATTTGGGTTGCTGGCTGTTGCTTCGATTTGTTATGTTGTTGTGGCCTCTTTATTCTCAGCAACTACAAGTACGAGTACGAGTATGCCATCTAGATAAGTGTTCCCCGATAAGGAACGGCATGAAAACATATGTTACGCCTAACAACCTACATGCAATTTTTGACTACTGTGTGGCTGAATTGGGTTGCCGACTGCCAATCTGAATATATCTAACATTTTTTATTTAAAAATGTGGTAGGCGGAAATCCAAAACCCTATATGATAATTTAAAATGTTAGTTTAAAGGTCTAGCTGTTACACTGATCGGTATTATTTGATTTATTTGAAATGAAGACAACAACTTGAATTGGAATGAGCTTTTTTAAATTAGCATCACTAGTGTCTCAAGCTCTTTGTCCTTTAACATTTATAACATTATTATTTTGAAGTGGTCCCTGAATGGTCATTTTATTTACAGCTCAAATAATAACAACATAACAACTTTAATTGGTACCCTCTTTTTTAAGTTATCATCACTAGTGTCTCCACCTCTGTGTCCTATACATGTATATTTTATTTTGGAGAGTGGTCCCTGAATTGTCATTCTATTTACAGCTCAACTAATCTCGAATAATAACATAACAATGATTGAAGAGCCTAATATTAGAACAAGCGCGAGCTTAGTGTGTATGTTTAAAAAATGTACGAAACAGACGGATCGGCGATCATTGTACAGTATCGCCATAATGATCCAAACATCCGCCAGTTTGCATACTCTTCATAGAAGGCTCAACAACTGCATCTATTGTTGAGCACGCACGCAACATAGACGCATACGTAGGCTCAGGTTGATGGTATTGTTCGATAGATAATGCCACTCAGTCGTCGTTAAGAATAGAAGAAAGTGCGAGCGGAAAGACACGTCTCTCATTACAGTAGGTTTTCGGTACTTCTATGTCAGCTTAGACTTTTTTTTTATGTGAAAATAAGAAGTGAAAAATAAAATACAATGGGAACGGACGGATGCTTTTCTTATTACAGCACAGAGAAAAGGTAAACAGCTTAGATAGAAGATTTAAGGTTGATGGTATGGTTTCAGAGATAACAATAGAACAGATCACATGCAGTAAGAATTGACAATTGGAAGACAGTATACATAGACAGTCACATCTCTCAATACAACAGGCTTTCTGCATCTGAAATCCCTCCCCTAGAGTAGAGTATCAACCTCTTTCAGCAAAGCCGTATGACCTGGCTTGTTAACGATATATTGCGTATTGTAAGATTAACCCACAAATCTCACTTCTTTGAAACACGTTCCAAACGTTCAAGCCGTGTTATCTGCATTGTGGGCAGCCAGCAAGTCGAAATGAAAGTACTGTGGCTTTAAAGTTTCGCAGCACAAGTGTGGTAAGTGGAAACCAGTTTTATTGCAATTATTAGAAACTCCACTGGCGGGAATTACATTCACATTTGAGGGAGAGGCGAGCTCAGAGAGCTTGTGTACGATCGAGTTGGAAGCGATCAAGGACTGTCACCGACTTCACATCATTTTTACATGCTCGTTCACCATGAGCATAAGCCTCGAATGAAAGCCTATAAGTAGCTGCTTACAACGAACAAACTTGGCCAAATCCAACTCTTGTTGGCCGCCCAAAGAGAGTGCGAATGTGAATGCGAGCGAATGCTTTGGGGCGCTAAACGTGGCGCCTGCGCATACGGAACCATCACTCGGAACAATAAAAATATTATTTTTGAAAAGAGAAAAAATAAACACAAGCATACAATACATTATACAAGTATACGATTGTGTATACATAACTCTTTCACTTTCAACCGCACGTACATAACAGTCGAGATATATATGTACATATGTGTCTATGTGTGCGATATCTACAAAAGTTCGTATGTACTTTGTTTTTTGTTTCGTGGATTCGATTGCTCTGCTTGGGGCGGACACAAAGAAAATGTATAACCAAAGCTATGAATTTCAAGGCTTGGGAAATATGTACGCGTATATATGTGTGTGTTCAATTAGGCCTTTGTTAAACTTGAGCAAGACACGAGCAATCGCAGCACTCGAATGAAAGGGCAGGGAAGCTGATCAGCATACTGAAGAAGAATTGAATAGAATTTCTTTGTCCTTTAATCGAAATGTAGCTAGATACTCAAATCTCAACAAGCTATGTAGAACATCAAAGTCAATGAGTGGAATTGTGGGATCGAGAAATTTTTATTTGTATACTACAAGTAGTATGAAATGAAGTATTTATTTGTCAATCATATACATACATATATAAATGGTATCCAAAACTATAGTGTTTCATCTTTCACACCATAAGAAACGAATACATGTTTTTAATTCAAAGATTTATCTATCTAGTTTAGTGTTTTAGAAATTAATTGCCACATATTACGGGTACATATTATATAGATTATTTTTAGAGGAAAGATTATGCGCTTACTCCCCAGGTCATTTCTCTCCGCTCCAAACACTAGCATACACACATACTTACTTCCTATATGTATGTATGTATTTAGAATAATGCGCACTTGAATAGCCCGCCCATATGATGATAGGTCGAACAGCCCTCCGGGTGCCCCAGATAACTAACTACATGTTTGTATTTATATTGTGTCTAATCAAGTTATTGTTATTGTGATCATACGTGCAAGCATAGCGTTTTCTTATCACGGCATTAAAGTATAGAATAATAACAGCTAAGCTATTAAATAAGTGAAACGATTTAAGCTGAATTTCATTTTAAAACCCCATTGCGGGTGGAAAGCTTTTCAGATTGGCGAAACTATACATTGATGTGGAAAGATGTTCATTAAAAATAAAAACAACGCTTTTAATTTTAAAAATATATAATAAGCCTTAAAGGTATTTTAAGGAATTTCATTTAATTTAATAGTGCAAACGATTTAAGCTGAATTTCATTTTAAAACCCCCTTGCGGGTGGAAAGCTTTTCAGATTAGCCAAACTATAGATCTGGAAAGATGTTCTTTAGAAATTCAATAATATATGTGATGAAAAGCGATGGATAGATTCGATACAAACAGCCATTGAAACTGTTTGTTTGAAACTCGACAATTAAGCGAATCGGCACATTATTAACGGCCCTCACTATCAAGAGTTTATTTGTTGTAATATAATAAAGGCATTTTTTAATTTACCGATAATAAATAAAATATGGTTCAAAGAAATGTTGCAATCAAAAAGTTGCTTTTGAACTCTGCTCAATTTATTAAAAATGAAATGATTTACAAGTACTGTCCAAGCGAAAGGAGAATTAAGAACGAAATACAAGGAACCATCGTCCTACTCAGCAATAAAATTTTCAAATTTGTCAAAACACTATAGCAACCAACATGTAACACCGAGTATTGGGTAACTGCTGAGCCATAACCGTCTTAGATGTTAAATGCCAATATGAAGACGCTAATTCGATAACTTTTACTTTTAATTAATAACATCTTTAATGGTTTGTCTGGGCGATGATTATTTGATTTCATGTTTGGGATCAATTGGGATTATTCCTAAAGCAGTCGGTTACTAAACTGCCCTTGACTCATACAAACGAAGGATGCAAAAACTTGAGTCAATATTGAAGTACGAGCCCATGCCCCACACACCTACACATTGGCTTGTGTGCTCGTGTTTGGTGCGTGTGTCATCTGAAAGCAGGTGCAATCGCAATCGCAGTCGTAAGTCTAGTCGCAGCCCAAGGAAACGAGGGCGACGGAGCTCAGCTGTTGCGGCAGCAACAGGTGTCAAAAACTCGGTGGTGGTTAAGCGCCGATAAGAAGGAATTTCAGCTTGCACACCGGCAATTAGCTTGATGCAATAACTTAAACTATTTGTGCCAAACATTTGAGTGGGGTGTTTTTGTTAATATTGTTGTTGTTGTTGTTGTTGTTGTTGGGGCATCATCCACTTACCACGTTTCGTTAGTAATGTCACCGCAGCTGCCGTCACGCCTGGCAGCTTAAGCACATGATTCTCGATTTTGCTGACACAGGATGCACAAGTCATGTTCATAATTTCCAGCTCCACTTCGGCTTCGCCGTTCTCCGGCTCGTCAATGAGGTCCGTGGGGAAACCCAGCTCGGTAATGGACTTAGCTATATTCTCGGCCATCACCACATTGGCATTGTATTTAACTTCCGCCTTGGCGGCGAGCAACGCCACCAGAATACTGTCTAGGCCATAAATCTTGCGACAGTGCTTCTCGATTGTGGCCACACAACTGGCGCAGGTCATGCCCCGTATATGAAGAAAGCATTTGGTTAGCAGTTCCTGCTCCACGGGCACCATTGTGGCCGTTCCATTTGCAATGGTGTGCGATTTGCTGGGCGTAGCCGCCTTGGCTTTTGTTTGTGCGTCCACCTGTTGCGCAGGACTACTTGTTGTTTTTGTGGGGGTGCTCGCCTTGGAATTCCCATTGGCAACGCTCGCCTCAAAGCCCATGTCGTCGATGAGTTCAGCAATGGCGGCGGGTGTTAGCTGGCTAGGATCGTACTCGACGCGAGCGTTTTTCGCCTCCAGGTCCACTTTTATTTGCCGTATGCCCGGCTTGGTTCCAATGTTGCCTTCGATGTTGCGCACACACGACTGACAGGTCATTCCCAGGACGCGTATGTTAGTTGTGCCTGAATTGCTGGAGAGTGTGGTCGATGGCTGGTAGCTGCACTCAAAGCCCATTTCATCGATTTCGTAGGCAATCTGTGTGGGGCTGGTGGTGGTCGCATCGTAATCAAAATAGCCCGCATGCTCCTCTAACACTACACGCGCCGACAGCACGCCAGGCTTCTGGCCAATGTTGCCTTCAATATTTCGAACACATGACTGACAGGTCATGCCCACAATGGGCAAACGCACGGAGGCCAGGGAAGCGGCCGACGCCGTCAGCGTTGGTGCTGGCGGAGGGTTAGTCAGCTGTTTGGCTGCTGCAGGCACATTCTTTGCGTTTTCCTCGTCATTCATTTTGAATTTGCATTTCACTGTATGTATGTAATTTGTTGTTGTTTTGGATGTTGTTTCTGTGTTTGACTTTATCAACTACACCTACGGGATGTGTGTGGGTTTAGTGAACACTGCAGTGCAATGCACTTGCGCATGAACTAACGAAGACGTATAAAATAAGTAAATAACCGAAATATTTAACGCTATTGGAACACTTGGCTAGTGGCATACGCAAACGCCAAGCCTTTGAGCTTCGATATTGGACTGCCTGCCAGTTACGCGCATATCCAGTTTTATAATAATGTATTCCAGATCAATTACTTTCCAATTTTGTCAAATTCACACGAAACTAATATTTTCGCATATTTGTTATACCTAATCTCCGCATATATAGTATTTAATTTTCTAATTAACACACACAGCTGTTGCGCCCGTCATTGACGTCGCTTCGCACGGCACCAACTGATGGGAAAAACGACAAATTCGATTGCCTGCGTAATCGATTGCCATGTACTAATTATTGGCAACAAGTGTTGGAAAAGAGTAGTTACACAAAAATACATTTAGTGCTAAATGGTACATGAACAATATTGTAAACTATTTCATTAATAACAGTGGCTTAAGAATTTGTAAATTAACATATGGTTCATTAAAAAATAAAATAAATGCCTGCCAGTAATATCTTTAATACTTTTCAGTTATCGATAGCATTATACCATCACTGAATTGCGCGCTACTTTGTTATTTTTTCGCCGGTCCAGATCATTTCGCATTCCAACGCAACCCAAATTAGTTAAATAGATATTAAAAATGAGCACATCATTTGAGCCACGCACTTTTGTAAACGGCGCCTTGCTTAAGCAGTTTGCGGGTCAATCCGTGAGTATTATTGTGCGGGTTGATAGCGTCGCAGGCACGACATTGATTGGTGAGAGCACGGATGGACACAAGCTGCGCATCAGCTTGCCGGACGAGAGTAATCTTCGCAAAGGCTCTTGGGTAGAGGTAATTGGCATTCCTGGTGGCTCGGACGCATTACGTGGCAAGGAGGTAAGTGTTGGAAGTTTTCCTTTATGGCTTTTATTAATGTTATTTTCCCCAATTATTGTGCAGGTGATCGAGTTTACTGGAACAGATTTCGACGCCGAGGGCTATAATGGCATGACGCATCTTCTTAACAATGTTAAGGATTTCTATCGCTATGGTTAATCGAAACATTCTATTATATTAATACACACATAAGCACCAAGTTGGATTATATAGACTTTCCAATTTCAACATTACTTTATTTACGAAATAATATAAACTGAATTCAAACATAAGCCTTTAATTTTGAGTGGGCGTGTGTATACAAATAAAATGTTAACTAGGAGAGGGGAAAGGAGTTAAACAATTTGCCAGCATGTCATGAAACACAACAAACAGTTAACGAAACGGACAGCGTCAGCCTATTGTAGCACCGCTGCATTGGCAACGACGCTGGGATTGTTAACCACCTCGCCCAATGAATCCAGCACCTCCTTACGGTAATCGTCGAATTCGCCATCGATTTCATTGATCGTCTGGTCCTCAATGACATACAGGGTGCAGCCGGTCTCGCGTATTAATCGCTCGTCGTGGGACACAATGATGACACCACCCTCGTACTCGTTTATGGCCTCGGCCAATGCATCAATGGACTCGATGTCCAAGTTATTTGTCGGTTCATCTAAAATAAGAACATCGGGCGCACTAAGGCAGAGCTCGGCAAGTGCTACGCGCGCTTTTTGCCCACCAGAGAGATCCTTCATCTTGATGGTATGCGCGTGGCTGACTAGACCAAAGGAGCCGAGTGCTTTGCGCGCCTTTTCATGAGGTAAATTGAAGAGACGCTGCAGATACTCTGCTGCTGACTCCTCAGCGGTCAAATGCTCGCCTGAATGCTGATCGAAGCGACCCACATGGAGACGATGGTTCTTCCGTTGCTCACCCTGCTGCGGTTGAAGTTCGCCCAGAAGCAGTTTGAGGAAAGTGGATTTGCCAACACCGTTGGGTCCAACAATGGCTACGCGACTCGTCAGATCAATGCCAAAATCGGCCTTGATGAACAGCGGCTTCTGGCCTTCGAAGGCAAAGGTGACGTTGTGCAGACCCAAAATTGGTGGCTGCAGCTGCGAGGGCTCGGGGAAGCGAAACTTGACAATGTACTCCTTCGGCCGTTCGAGCAACTCCTGCGGCCCGTCGTCTTCGTCCAGTTTCTGTTGCTTGGACTTGTTCTTCTCCTGTTTGCGCGTGAGGGTCTCCTTTTGTTTTTTCTCGGCCGCCTTCTTCGATTGTCCGTGGGCTTTGAGTTCTCGGATTCTTTTCTCTTGCTTCTCATACTCCTTAATCATCTCGCGCCGCTTCTGCACGTACATCTTCTTAAACATCGAATAGTTGCCCTTGTAGTATTGCAGTTTCTTCTGGTCCAGATGGATGATCTCGTTGCATACGTTGTCCAAAAAGCTCTGGTCGTGGGACACAATGAGAAGGGTTTTCTTCCACCCCTGCAAATAATTATCCAACCAAATGACAGCGTTCAGGTCCAAATGATTTGTGGGCTCGTCCAGCATTAGTAACGTGGGTTCCAAATAGAGAGCGCGTGCAAGAGAGACGCGCATACGCCAGCCACCAGAGAACTTGTTCGTGGGTCGATCCTGCATCTCCTTGCTAAAACCGAGACCGGCCAGGATACGACGGGCACGTGCCTCCGCCGAATACGCGCCAATCGCCTTCAGCTCGGCAAAGGCATCGTTCAACTCCTCCTGCACACTCATATCGCCAGCGGCGAACTTATCCTCCAGTTCCTTACTCTTCTTTAGCAGCTCGTTGCGCTTCACATCCGCTTCTAAGATGGTATCGATGGCTGTCTTGTCAGTAGCCACTACCTCCTGCTCACAAAGCAGCACATCTATATTTGGAGGTATGGCAAAGGCACGCGTGGCTATGTGACGCAGCAGTGTCGTTTTTCCATGGCCATTAGGCCCCACCAGGCCGTAGCGTCGGCCGTGTGCAATTAGAAGATTCGCATTCACGAAGAGGTCGTTGCCTATTAAGTTGTATTTAATATACATATAATTAAAGAATATGACATATTATTTTTGAATCATTACGCACCTTTGGCCGATATTGTAAAGTTCTCGATTTTGATGTCGACGGCATGCTCCAGCGCAGCCTGCTGGCCTGCGCTTTTTTGCACCTGAGACATGGTGAAGTTGCTGTCCAGGTCGGAATGACCAGCACCACCCTTTTTGGTCATTAATTCCATTTGACGCTCATACTCTTGTTGTTTCTTCTGCTTCTTTTTCTCCTTATGCGTGAGTTTCTTTTCTTTTGCCTCCGCAACTGCAGCTTCTGATGAATCGTTAGATTTGGATGTTGGTTCGGGTTCTGCTTCTGGTTCCAGCTCTGGTTCCTTTTCCTGCGCTTCTAGTGCCACAGCTTCTACCTTTTCAGTCAAGGCTTGCACTTCATTATTGGGCGTAGGCAGGCTTTTAACCACCTGTTGCGGCTCGTCCTCAACAATTTCGTCTTCTTCAATTTCATCTTCTTCCTCCCCATCGCTCATTGCAAATTTGTTCTTTTGCTGCTGTTTTTTCTTCGATTTCTTACTTGCAGGCTTTGCTATACTTGGAGCGGCTTCCAATTCATCATCGTCGTCTTCCTCGGTCGTTGGCGCAGCCGCCAAAATGTCCTTATTGTCGTCATCATCATCATCACTAAAATCGAATGCTTTCTTTTTGTTCTTTTTACTCTTCTTGTTTTGTTGTTTCTTGGCGACTGGAAGTACGGCCGCTACTTCGTCAGCCGAATCCTGCACATCATTGTCGCTCCAGTCCTCATTCTTTTTGCCCTTTTTACCCTTCTTGGCTTGCTTTTTGGCAGGAACAGCTGGCTTTGGAACATCATCTTCAACATCACTTGAATTGTGGTGCTTGCCTTTCGCTGGTTTTACCGCGAAATCCTCATCATCGTCGTCACTATCATCGCCATGTTTCTTCTTACCCTTTTTACCCTTCTTTGTTGATTTTTGTGCCTGTTGGGATTTACTTTGTCCAGATCTGACACTTTCGAGGTCATCAGCATCATTACTAGGGTTCACAATTTTGTTGCTGGGTAAGGACTCATCATCACTGGAATCGCCGCCGCCACGTTTTCCTTTCTTTCCCTTCTTTGCCGCATGCTTCTTTTCACTCGCCTTCTCTGGAACTGAGACTTCGTCATCGTCATCAAAACGCTCTTTCTTTTTGCCCTTGGCCTTCGACATGGCTTGGTAGCATAAAATATTCTGGTAAGTTAAATTTGTGTTTATAAATGGGACACATTAATAATACCTAAGCTGACGAAATTCCTGTATGTATAGGCGGCGACTGCTGGGTTTCGGCTGCCACTTTCACGTGCACAGCTGGCAAATATGCCAATTGGAGTTGTGTCAGGAAGAGGAAGAACTGCCGATGACGAGTACTGACGGTGCTAGAGTTGTCGTTGTCAGTGGATTCGCAATTTAATGCCACACGGCTATCGACTAGTATCGCAGCGTAGTATCGACTAGCATCGACTACCAGCGACTATCGAGTGTTGCAGCTGTCAGAGAGTTTTATATATTTATTTATATTTATATTAAAAACATATTAATAACATCACTGCAGCGCGATTTGTTGTTATTGTAGTGAGTCTCGTGTAATTTGACGTTTAATTGCCTACTAATAGGCATCGTAGTGATGTCTGTTGCGATTGCGTGAAACAATACAACGGCGAAGGAGATTCGCAACGCAATCAAAATACGAAAATATTTAACAAAAAAAGAGAAAACAACATATACTGCGTGAGAGTGTGCTCTACAAAGGGGGCGCGCATAGCAAAGGTGGTTAGTAGCAGTAGCAAAGGCACCACTAGCACCAACAGCAGCAGTAACAACAACAACAATAAAAACAGCAACAACAACAATAATAACAACACGCGATCATAAGCGAGACCTTGAAAACTTTAAAGTGAAGCAAAAAAGTAAAATATTAACAAGCAAACAAAAGCAACAACAACAATTGAAAAACAAGTGCCGTGCCCGCCAAGTTATGGAGAGTGACAATTTTCCGCAACGCGCAATTTAGCAATACCAATGGAAAAAGAAAATCCATAAACCCTCTGAGCAAATTAGAACGTAGAAATCAAAACAAGCACTCAGTTTATACCAGCCACTGCAACAACAACAACAATAACAATAATAACAACAGTAGCAGAGAAAACAGAGACGTCGGCGACGACTGCGACTGCGACATAGCAGACATAACAGTAACGTGTGCAATGGCGGCAGCAGCGACAGCTCCTGCCAGCAGCGGCAGCGGCAACGGCAGCGTCGCGGTTATGACAACAGAGACATTAATCGACGGCAATGCGGCCGCTGTCGCTGCCAATGGACGCGAGGCGCGCAATTTGGCCGAGAAGCAGCGCAGGGACAAGCTAAATGCCAGCATACAGGAGCTGGCGACCATGGTGCCGCATGTGGCGGAGTCGACGCGTCGCCTCGACAAGACCGCTGTACTTCGCTTTGCGACGCACGGCTTGCGCCTCCAATATGTGTTTGGAAAGTCGGCGTCACGGCGCAGGCGGAAATTCTGCTCAAAAGATGGCAGCGGTCTGCTCAATGGTTGCATGAATGGAAATAATAATAACGGCAGCCGCGTCGACTCGCCTTTGCTCACAGATACACTAATGCAACTGCTAGACAGTTTCTTTGTAACGCTCACCTGCAACGGTCAGATTCTGCTCATCTCGTCCAGCGTGGAGCATCTTCTAGGCCACTGTCAGTCCGATTTGTACGGCCAGAACATACTTCAGATCACACATCCCGAAGATCAAGCGCTGTTTCGCCAGCAACTCATACCACGTGACATCGAAACGTTGTTTTATCACCAGCAACAGTCGACGACGTCAGCGTCTGGTAGCGACGGCGATGGTGACCTGGACGATGGTATGGAGTTGGACCAGGAAGAAGACGATGGCGAAGGCAATGAGCAGAAACTGAACCATTTAGCCTATCGGACTCCAAGCCCCCGCACTCTAGATCACCTGGACACGATTGACAAGCGCCTGCGCGCCGACCGTCGCTGCTTTACAGTCCGCTTGGCCCGGGCCTCGACGCGCGCGGAGGCAACGCGTCACTACGAAGTAGTCAAAATCGATGGTTGTTTTCGACGCAGTGATTCGTCGGTGACGGGCGGCACAGCCGCCAACTATCCTATAGTGTCGCAGCTGATTAGGCGTTCGAGGAGTAACGGTTTGTTGGCTGCCGCAGCGGCGTCGGTCGCCGGTGCAACGGGAACGACGGCAACATCATGCCTGCCACAACATGATGCCATCGCGCAAGCGGCGCTGCACGGCATCAGTGGTAACGACATCGTCTTAGTGGCCATGGCGCGAATCGTTCGCGAGGAGACAACTCTGTTATGTCGCCAGCCGGAACCATATCAGCTGGAATACCGCACGCGGCATCTTATCGACGGTAGCATCATTGACTGTGATCAGCGTATTGGCCTCGTGGCTGGATATATGAAGGATGAGGTGAGTGCAGAGGGCTAATAAAAACCAGAAACGCACAATATTTAAGCGGATTTGGTTACAACTTTTATAAAATTCCACAAAACCGTTAAAAACACCGATCGGCTGTCTATATACTTGTAGGTTTTCTTTTTCTAAACCTGCTGGAAGAAAGTTCTCTATTAAAAACTTTAAAACCGCAGTTAAATAATCGGCTGTAAATAGAAACAGAAATAGATTAAACGCCAGCGTCTTGAATTGAAATCTGTCATATGTTGAACCCTCATCGCAAAAATAATTAAATAGTATTATTGTCCTTTTTCCGCATTCGATTGAATAATTGTTTGTCACTTTTAATGCCATGTCTCTGGTACTATTTATACAATATTTAATTAATAATATTTTGTATTGGAAAAAAAACGAAACATTAGTTTTATGAATAAATTTTTCCTTTCAATTGATTCTTTCACTGAAAAGTGACACCCAAAAGGATGCATAGTTATTGGTATATGATTGTATGTACTATTTATGTGATTAGCATGACGAAGCGAATCCAAATCGCGATGCCGTCCGTCCGTCTATATGTTTTAATCACTACTCGTCCCCCAGTTTTAAAGCTAAACTTTGCACTGAAGCTTTTTTTTATGGACACAGATAATTTGCCGAGACCGACCATGTCAGAGCACTATATTATGTAGCTGCCATAGAACGATATGATTTTTGATGTAGTTGTTTGTATTAAAGGTTTGTTTATTACATACTGAGAATGTTGCAGTCATATCTGATGGTTTCGCTTCAGTTGTGGGTCACAAATACTTGGTGACAAATGCAAAATAAGTAAAGAACGCTTTCTAATAAAAGATAAGATAGTACGGGACAGTAGGCTATACATTTAGTGGCCCATAACAACGGCGGAATATAAGTCTGTGGCAAGATAGATTAATTCATATAATTTAATATGTCTGGACTGTATAAATAGCTCCTGCAACATGATGAGAACATTGTATTCCCTGTGCCTATCCCCTCTCTTATAGAAACTCAAAAATAACTTATTCCACTAAGAGTGTTAGTTTAAAGATAAATAAAATATATATATTATAAAAGTATTAGATAGTAGCATTAAAAAACAATCAACTTGAACTGAAATATCGGGGAGGAACAGCATTAAGATTAACTGTTGTTTTCTTTTCCATTTCGGGCTTTTTCTAGTCATACTATTATTTCATAGATTTAGCATGTGTTATTTCATTTTAGTAATTTCATATTTATTTCAAAAGATATAAAGAACAATATTGTATTGGAAATGGAAATAAATGTACCATAACGCTGCGTTTTCACTATCTTTGAAGCGAATATTAGGCAGCAAGGCGTTACAAATATTGATTAAAAGATTAGCACCCACACTGGCTTTTAAGCAAACATTTTCATCAAATATTAGCCACGAAAATTAAATAGCACGCTTTGTACTTGTAAAGCTTTAAATGTTAAATATTTGAATATAATATGTTTTTATTTCCATATTTCGTGATAATGAGGGAAATATTGTACTTAATCTAGTTGTGGAATGTTAAGCGGTACAAATACTAGTATACTAGAGTATATTTAACAATCTGCTAAATGTTAATCAATTGTTCATGCATTTGCTCATACCTTTCTACTCTTTCTCCAACAGGTGCGCAACCTAAGCCCCTTCTCGTTCATGCATCAGGACGATGTGCGTTGGGTGATCGTAGCGCTCCGACAGATGTATGACTGCAACAGCGACTACGGAGAGAGCTGTTATCGATTGCTGTCGCGGAACGGACACTTCATCTATCTGCAGACCAAGGGATTCCTCGATATCGATAAGAGCACGAATAAGGTGCACTCGTTTCTCTGTGTTAACACGCTGCTAGATGAGGAGGTCGGCAAGCGGAAGGTGCAGGAGATGAAGAACAAGTTCTCAACTATTATTAAGGCCAAGATACCCACGAACACCAGTCCCGATCTGCCAGCTTCGCGTAATCCGCAGCAACTGGAGCGCATCGTCCTCTACCTGATCGAGAATCTTCAGAAGAGCAGTGGCGGCGACGGAGGAGGCATTCAATCAGTGGACAGCTTAGACGATGGGTACTGCTCACCTGCCTCCACAGCCACAACGCTGACGCTCGAGGAGTTGGCGCCGTCGCCAACGCCAACATCAACGCTTCAGCAGCCCCTGGCCCTGGTGCCACCGGCACCCTCTTCGGTCAAACACTCCATATCGAAATCGGTGAGTGTAGTCAACGTGACAGCAGCCCGCTATCTGCAGTACCAGCAACAGCAACAGGTGCCGCATCAGAGCATGAGATCACCGCCTTCGGACGATGGGAATAGTCCATCACCTGCAGCGGTCGCTACGCCATCACCACCTGTGCGTGTCAGTGTGCTGAGAAAGCTCAGCTCCGACAGCGGAGCAAGTGGAGCTGCCGACGATGCGCAGGCGCAGTCGCCGGCGCCCATAAAACTGCAGGCGGCACTCTCCAACACGCTGCGCACCCTGGATAGTCAACTTACAACGCAGGGACAGGAGGCCCAGACCCTCTACCAGCAGCCAGTGTTGCTGCCCAAGTTCGAGCGACGAATGGATGCCATCATGGAGGAGCACCAGAAACAGCAGCAGCTGCTGGTCAACATCAAGAGCGAATACGATGTGCATGTCCAGCAGCCGATGCTGCTTTCCCTCCCGCAGCCACAGCCACAGCCTCAGCCCCAGCCATCCACCCCAGTGTCAGTGATAACCATAACAACGACCCCACAAACGACCATAGCCACAACGGGCACTGGCAACAGCAATGCCGTCGCCAGCATCGGCAGCACCTGCAACAATGCACGCAGTCAACAGCGCCGCGCTCTGTAGCAGAAGGCCAGCGTGGGCGTGGCAGTGCGCACCCAGACTCATGTGCCTCTCAGAAGGCTCTGAACACATTTGTTGGAGTCTCCTGTTTTCCATCTCCTGTCCTGATTCTGTTTTATGGTCCCAGTTTAAAACTCATCCAGCTGTTCTATTTTGCTCTCGTTCTCTAATCCGTATGCGAAGAGACTTTTGAAAAGAACGCACACGCCAGAGAATTGAGAGAGAGAGAGCAAAAAAGACAATGAAAGAGAGAGAGAGAGTGAGTGAGAGAGGAGAGAGGAGGGCAAGGGCATCTGAGCAATGACCGAGAGTACAAATATAATTCAAACATCGACACATGCGACCTTCGCACCTCGTTCGAGAGTACAAAATATTTTGCTTTAAGCTAAGGATTTTACCTCAAAAGAGATTCTAGATTTTAAACCAGTTCAAATCGATTGCAAGTCTTCTAGCCATCTATCTACTACAACATACGAGTACACACGGCTTGTACTCGTAGTTTTCCTTATCTTTCTATATTCACCTTGTGGATTTATGTGTGCGTCGACACCGAAAAAACAAACAAATTATCTACACTTTGCCGCAAGGCCAACCAATTCTATATGCATACATATACATACATACATACATACTCATGTAAACACAAATCTATATATGGCTATGTATGTATGTAAGCATGTTCGTGTGTGTGGGTGGGTGGTTGGGTGCTCGTCTGGGTGAGTGTGTAGGGCGAGTTACGACTAAGTAACGAGCTCTATACATACATATGTCAATAACCCAATGTTTAGGTTGTAGAACAGCTTCCTCCTCATCCTCAGTCAGCTGCCGCAAAATAAAGATCCCAGCTCAAGACGCAAGTGCGGGTGAATAGATGTACCCATTGACTCTAATTTGAAAAACCAGTCTTGTACAATTGTCATATTTCTTTCTTTTGTCAGGTTCTTTAGAACTATGTTTTGAATAGTACATTTTTTTGTTAGAATCAATCTGGAGTTCCATTCATAAAAATGAGAATGCTTGTGTTTTGTGTATGATCACTTATTATCCCTTATTTTGTTTCTCAGAAAAACATAGTAGAACTCCATATATAAGAAACTTTTTTTTTACCTTCGGGGGTATTGAAGTTCTATTCGTTTCCTTGTCATCTATCGATCCTATAACCCTTAAAAAACTCAATTCTGATTATTTCCTTTATTCTATCGAGTCTAAACCCCTTAAAAATCTCAAGTTTGCAACCTTAAAGTTCGGTTCTACTAACTCCTCTACTAACATTCCCCACCTGTGACTTCGACAAAATAGAGTCTCTCTCTCTAATTTAGAGAACTTTGTAAACGCTAAGGTGTCTTTCTACACATCTGTGGATCAGATGATATACTTGATTGAACCGTTTCCGATGAAGGCCGCACATGTTTATGGAATCTTTCGGGGCTGAGATAGGATTAGTATCCCCAAATCATCAGTATCAGAATATACCCCGTATAAATAACGAAGGTGTTAGGACTTCATATACTTTTTACTTTACCTTTTTGTAGATGTTAACGAATATGTGTATATAAATGATTATAAAATTTGTTGTCGAAAACGGAAGAACTGTAGGCTTATTTGTTTGTTTTTTTAAGTCAAAAAGTAATATCAATAAGTAGCCACCCTTAAACCTCTGCTGGTCATGATGTTTTAGGTGACAGCGTAGTTCTGAGCTTCAATTCCAATCCACCTGTGTGACAAATTTATTTCTATCCGATGGGCGGTCGTAATCAATTCTCGAAATAAAGCACAGGCATTAGCAGTTAGGTTTGTTGTTGTGATGCCCCTTTGGTGGTCCATAACAGCCTTACGCCTCCCACAACCACCTATTATTATAGTTTAGATTTGCTCAGCGATACGGCTTCGGTCGCTTAACGCAAAAACACAACCTTCACGGACGGACGGGCGGACGGACGGACAGAGACACACACCACACAGACACCCTCCGCTTGCTTAACCCGCCCACACGCACTTCGTGCTCTGTTTTCTCGTTTCTATGAACGCAATCATTATTTCTGTCTATCCCTCAATGAAGCCCGCGTCTGGTGCCTCCACTCGCCCCCGCTCTCGTCTCGGCGAGAACTTGGCCGCTGTTTGCCTTCCCAATTAGCAGGCCCGCTGCGACTTGGACTTGTGTTCCATAGCGAAATTCTTGTAACTATTATTAGCATTTTATTATTATTATTATTATGATTTTTTTTTTGTGTAGCGCAATTTCTTGTTTGGTTTTTTGTTCATTCGTTCGTTCGCTTAGTGCGTAGATTAATTGTATTGTTAATTTATATAATTAAGCCCATATATATATGTATATATATACACATATGTATATATGTATACATACATACATATACATATATTGTTTTCACGAGTTGTGCTCTTAAAACACTTGAGTTAATGTGAATTTTTTTTGTGTTCTTAAATTTTTGTTGATTTTTACAATGATATTTCTATGCTTAATTTATGTTATCTTCAAGAATGTGTAACCCTTAATATTTAAAGGAAATCTTTACAGATTTTTGCTAATTTTAGCAATTAAAACATTAGTTCTTAGAGCGTGTAAAAAGAAACAGGATATACATACATATATTTACAAATTAAAAATATAATAAGACATACATACCAAACAAATCTGGCGTTTCATTTCAATGGGCGTAGCTTGAAAAAAAAAGGGTTGGTGCGAATGTGTGTAATAACTATAAGGAGGCACAAAGTATATCCATATACATATATAGTCTCGATCGGTATGACCAAACAAGTAGAAAAACCCATATCCGTGTATAAGCCAGAATAATGCCAATTAATTGAAGGGACGTTTTATTCTTGGAAATAATATTCTTTAAAGGTTAATGAAAACTCGTAAGGAAATTATTGCCCGAATACGGTATGCGAACGTCGAAATTAAGATTTTCATAAAGAAGAAGAAGCTAGTATCTACAAGCTTTACATCCGGCATTGTACATCTCAAATTTGGCGTCCCTTAATGTTTTGGCTCAGAATATCTCGGTGTTCATACGGAACATGTCAATAGCATTTCATCGATTTTGCGATTCATATATAATATTTACCAATAACATGGGATTTGCCACGCCTCTTTCTGCCTGTTGCATACATTTGGCGCTTAGACCTTCTAGTGTGGATGCTATAATTGGAACGTTCATACCTTTGGGAGAGCCTGCATTGATAGGACGTCGCAACTGTTACAATAAAAATGGCTTTATTAAATAAATTTCATACAGTTTTTACTTTATTTTTAGTTTACCATATAATTAAATTAGTTGTAGTTATATTTAAAGTGATGTTCTGTTTACATTGCATGGACTTAAAACATTTAGGGATATCTTGATACTATGTCCCTCTTTCCTTTTGCCTAGCTGTATTATCCGATGTGTGTTCCTAAAGTTTATAAATAACGCAAGTTATTGCAAACATTTTACAATTCAATTTCAATTTAGATTCGTTTTGTGTTTTGTTTTTGACTAGATTATTTACCATATAGTAGTATGTATATAGATATTTATATATAAATACAAGTACATGAATGCAAATGTGTTCGTTTCATACATTTATAGTTTGTAAGGGCGTAGAACGCACATTTATTTCTTATAAATAGATACGTGTATGTTTCATAGCTATAAGTATGTATGTTTCTGTATTCATACAAGCAGTACTTAAAGTTGTGGCCCCCCACCTTGATAGAGGAGGGCCCAGACTGGTTTGTTTTATTGTAAGTATTATCTATTTAGAGCGAAAAATTGATTTAAGGTTATTTCGATAGCATTTTGTATATAAAAAGAAATACAATTACAATATGCTTAAATAAGTTATTTGATATTAAGCGAAAAAAAACTTGTTCTATGCGAAGACTAGTTGTCTTCTCCTCTTCTTTTTGCAATCTATACAAAAATGTTGTGGTTTTTTCTTTAACATTAAATTTGGAATAATCCGTCTTCTTGACTAGAAAATGAGATGTTCGACTAGTTATTTTGAATGTTACAAAATAATGAGTTACTTATAGGTTAAAACAAAAAAAAAAAAAAAATACAGGAAATTTATTAACAAACTTATTAGGGGGGAAAACAATGCTTGGCGGGGCTTTTGTTTTGACTTTTCGTTTTAGCAACACCATTCAGGTACTTATATAATATTCTCATTTATGCGTTTAGTTTTTTTAGGCTATAAATTAAATATACATGTAGAGTAATGGAATACATAACGCCTTTATATATATATATATTTATATGTATCTGTAAGATGCACAATCGCCCCGATTAGGTTTATTGCTCCATTATGATCGTGTCCTCGGCTTTTACGTTGCCCGAATTGATGGCCTCCATGGCCTTGCTGAGCAGCGTGGCATCCTTAAGGCTAACCACCTGCACCAGCTGGGGCTCCTGGCCCGGCGCACCCTGAATCATCATTTGATGCATGCCCGGAGACATGGTGATGGTTTCCAGCTGATCGCCATTTTCCACCTAAGCCAGTAAGCAAGCGAGACAGATAGAGAGAGGGAGAGAGAGAGGGAGAGAGGTGATTAGTTAAATATCTTAATAAAGAAATGCATGTGTGTCTGTTTGTCAAGCCAGGTGATTTCTTCGACTCTTTGATGGGGTAACTGAACCTGTAGCCGCTGTTTTAAGAAAATCAAATATGAATTAATAAAAAACAAACAGATAAGAAAATAAATTGCAATTACTTACTCAAAACTCAAAAATCAGAGCTCTAGCTCGGCGCGATCTCTCATGAAATAAAAACGCTGTTGAATGCAATAGCTTGAGGAAATAATAATAAACGAACGAAATAATAAAATCACAACAACAAAACATTTATTCAATAAAATTCATTGGTCTCTTTTCGTTTTTGTTTCTGTTTCTGTTTTTGTTTTCTCATCGATAATTTGGTCTAAAAACAATTCATAATATAGTAATAGCAATAAAAACATAAAACTTAAACACAATATGAAATCAACATAATATAATTCAATAGCATAAGACTGTATGTATCTATCCTCATTATTCACAATCAATTAAACAAACAGCATACAATTTACACAATTATAATAATAATAATAATAATCAAAACAAAGTTAATAATACAGGCCTACAAACATACATACTTGTACATAATTGTATTGTATTATCATTATTTTTTTTAAATGAGCTCAATGGCATATGGGCGGGCTGCTTAAAACTCTTTTACACTTTCTACTTTAACGATATAAATATATAGTCTTAGTTATTTATAGTATATATGTATGTATGTATATATGATCGTTTGCGTTATACAACATTTAATGCAAATTTGGCTACGTGACGCACTTCTCACTACTGACTAATTTTCTTTTCCGTTTTTTTTTTTTCTTTGTTGCTTTTGTTTTGAACTAGCTACGAAAATACATAAACATATAATACATATGGATAGATATGTAGTTTTAAAATAGATCATCAGATTTCATTCTTTTAGCATTTCCCTGTTTCACTAATCCGACTACTTAACGTGTATATAAAATTCAATAAATGAAAATTGTAATTCATTGCACAAAATGGTGTTTTCTCAATTTTGTTGTTGTTGGGTGTCGGGTTTTCCCCACTAACTACATTAAATACGTTTAATATTTGGCTTGTGTTTCAATATTTGATTTAGCAAGTGCGCGGTGGTGCTTAACATAATTATTCTTAATATAGTACATAGTTTATAAATGGTATTTGAATTGAAATAGTTTCAATCGTTTGCACAGCTAGGAACATGACAAATTGCAATTAAAGAATTAAATTTTACGCATTTCGCTTTGGTCTCTCAAATTAAAAACAATCCCTTTTCTTCTATTTTTCTTGTTGGCTACAATATAGCAAATAATAATCAATAATAATTAAATAATTCAAATAAATGTGAACCAAAGTCGATGGCAATATGTGCGGTCAAGGGATTTCCCCTTTCTACATTATTATTATTTTAATTTTTGTTTTGTTATTACTTTTCTTTAGTTGTTGTTATTATTATTTTTTTGGTATTTCGATTGGCATTCACATGTTGCTATAAGTAAGATGGCAAGTGTGTGTGTTTGGATATGTTTCTGTGTGTGTGTGGGTGTGAGAGGGAGATGGACAAGAGAGTGAGGTGTTCGTGCAGATCTGTGGAGCAGCGCCGCATTGACTAGATTAGTTTTATGAACGTTGTTTTGGGCACTTGCTCTCCGATCGATTCACTCCAAGTTTTCCAATTTGATGGTCTTGGCCGGCAACAGAGCCCCGCCGCCACCTGTCAAGCTGGCGCTATCGACGCATCGTATTCTCGTGGCGGCACCACTCGACCCGCCCGCATCCTCAGCAGCAGTGCTAGCCGCCTCAGCCCCCCTACCGGCCACCAGCTTGCGCCGTTTCTGCGCAATCGCGCGACGCGTGTTGCCAGCAACACCGCTGCCTCTGCTGCTGCCACTTCCACTGCCAGCTCCACTGTTGGTATTGTTGCTGGTGGTGCCAGCGTTGTTGCCACTGCGTCGGGTTACGGCCGCAATTGGCGATGTGAGGACAATTGGCAGCGGCATTTTGTTATTGTTGTTATTATTGTTGTTATTGTTATTGGTGAGATTGAAGCTGCCAGTCGCATTGGTGGTCAAGAAAAGGCGCGTGGTAATACCAGGAGCGGACAGAGTTTGCGCCGGCGGCTGCTGCAGCTGCTGCTGAGGAAGCGTGGCTGTGGCACTTGAGCCTCCACGACGGCCCAAAATAGCGTCGGCACTAACTAGCGAGACGCACTGCAGCGGAATGGCCGCTGTGGTGGTGGTGGTGGTGGTGGTGTGTGTGGCACGAGTGGCCAGTGCGCTGCTAGTGCTTGCGGTATTGGTGGTGCCGCTGTTGTTGGGATTGGATCTGGAATTGATGTTCGAGTTGGTATCTACCTGCATGGGGGCGATGCACACCGTTCCGTCACTATTAGTCTGTATCTGCTGCATGTTGGCCATCACGGATTGGTACATGGAAACGGGCACCGAGATCACATTGCTCACGGAAACGGGATAGCCTGCAACAAAAGTTTACACATATAGTTTACGGCTTATTGTAATCACAAAGCAAATATTGTATCAGTTTGCTGGAAGAAGGAAACGTTTTATGGATGAGATGGATTAGCTGATGAGGTGATGGCAGGAAACGTATGGCCAGATAAGGGAACTAACGACCACTTGGGTTGAGCAATGAAATTACGATCACTACTACAGGTTAGTTAGAGTTTAGTTTAGTTAAGAGTAACCCACACGTCAAACTCTATCAGATGGGATATTAAAAAACAAAAAACACAACAATCTATCCATCATATCGTCTCAGAATGTGGCGGCATAGTTAGACTTTGGAGCAGTATGTGTACACCTAATTCTTTTTTTACACGGTAGATTGGTTCCAGAAACAACCGTGTAAAAAAAGGCATTGATCATATGCAAAAATACGGAACTGATTCCTTATCTCCAATGAAATATAGGTGAAATTTTTAATTTTCAAACCGTATTATATCAAAATCGTGTAAAAAAAGACCGTGTAAAAACAGAATTAGGTGTATATTGTAAGCATATGAAGCTTAGGCTAAGATCGCCAAAGAAAATAATATTATTATTATTTATTTAGTGCGACAAGAAAGATTCTTATAAACTAATGCACTAGTCACAAAAATTCAATTTCCTTAGATAATAAAATTAACATATTTAGGGAGAATATTTTAACGCCCAACAGAATGTAGAAATGTAGAAAAAGTACACCCTTTAACAAGATGGTAATAGCCAGACATACTTTAAAAACTTTGTTTGGGCTTCAAATCAAAACAATATACATATTTTTTTTAATTTGGAATATTGTGGAAATAGAAGCCGGCCTGAATAATTTTCTTTTACTTATTTATGAAAGAAGCAACAAAACTCCCGTTAGAAAGTTTTGCTTGGCGGAGTTTCTTCGCCGAAAGCTAAAACCGAATAAAATAAAGATATACTATTATATCACTGAAGTTGATGAAAACAAACATCGTTTCCTTTTATGAATCGATGTATGAAAGGAACTCCTTTTATAATGTTCTTATCATAATTCGTACGAATTAACAGATGCTGCGAATATACATATAACACATTTAGAGCGACTAACGATTGGCTACTATTGTGTGTTGTTGTTTATTGCAGGGAACTTTCAGTTTCAAATGTACGGGCAGAATAGAGTGCCGATTACTTACCTTGACCATCCTCAGTGGTTATAAAGATCTGACCGTCCTGTGCCTCAGTCAAATCAACGGTCATATTGTCGTGCCCATTAACATCAGTAAGACTTTGTACGGTTTGTATTGTGGTGCCACCTTCGCCCTGATGTAGCTGTAGTGGGGAAGTGAAGAAAGGAGAATTGCGGGATGGTTAGCAGAGGATGCACAGCAACTATTACTATGGCTGCCCACTTACGGTTGCCACGCCTTGTACTTGGGCGGTTGTGCCATCCGGCAGCGTTATTATGGGATTATTCGGATCGACCTGAATCAGCGAGACGGTCCCATCAGCATTCTGCGACAACACAGTTTGTGTGGTGTACTGTTAAATAGAAAAGAGGCTACGTTAGATGCATTGTTGTGTCTAACAGTTTTCAAGACAAGATGTTATAAATAAATTTAAAAAATAATTAATTAAAAAAAACGGAAACATGCAAAATAAGTTATACAAAAAAATTAAGCTATACACAAAATAAAGAAAAAGATATGAGGTTGTTGTTATTTAAATTGTGAGTGTGTGGGTATTTACGTGAGTGCTTTGTTATGTGTTTTTATTCGCGTGCCTTCAAAAAAAAGTCTGGTTTTTTGTTGTGGTAGATGTACTTGTATGTATGTAATGTAAACCATTTCAAAATGCTGTAACAAAAAATAAATAACAAAAACAAAAAAAAAAAAATTAAAAAAATTGAAAAAAAAATGCAGTGCAAATGGATTTGAGAGTATAATATGCAATCAAATCAAAAACCATTCAAAACTTGAGCATTGCAAAAGAAATGTGAACCACAGGAGGTTCTGTATTAGACATAGCCCAAGTGTGTCAAAACTATTATCGTAACACTACTTGTTCTGCCATATTCTCCACCCAGTCTTAAACTGCCTTGAATATATAATTGTTTTCATTACTAAATTGGTAAATAATCGTAGATATATACACATGTAACGATTAGATTAGATCGTGTGGAACGGGAATCGATAAATGTTTTCTCATTCAAAAAATGATTGAGACATTGGGCTTTCAAAGTGGCTAGCGGAATACTAGAATACTAAACAAAAAAATACTTTACAAGCTGAATAACAAAATAACTTTAGGGAATGACCACGATTCCACAAAATTTACATGTCTGCATAAAATTTTATCGATATTTGATATATTTTCTTTGTTTTAACAATTTATTAAATTTCAATAGCTGGGCCAACATTCCAAAAGAAATATACCTTCAAAAAATCGCTATTTCTATCTGTTCTGTATATATGTACGTGTTTCCAATCTTTTTGGGTGAGATTTGAGAATATCTAAAATACCATATTTAAAAAAGAAGCCATCTAGTTATTTTTAGCAATGATTCTGAATCCACACTGTTTCAATGCCTGCCTTCTGAGTTTTTAATCAACTCTTGTCGACCATTTCTAGTTTTCTATCTACCGTCTTGATCACTTGATAGAGATTTGGTTGTAGTTTGCTGATTCGGTATAGATATTATTAGTAGATATAATACCCATGACGTGTGCTGATCGTGTTCTGGTAAGCCCTATAATTGGTATATCATCATGCTATTTGCTTTATTTTTAGCTAAACCAATAACCAATATTTATTTTCCTACAACTTATGAGACAGTGGTTCTGGGTGGTTCCCTCCACTGACCCACTTAATGACTGCTTGGGCATTGTGCCTAATGCAGAGACTCGATTATATAGATTAGCAAGGATCAGATTAGTACGAACATCAACATCGCTCAGCGTTATGGGCTCGATGCAAACTTGCGCATTGGCGATCTGCTGGGCGGTGACCGTTTGAGCCGTTGACTGAGCTGCCGCTGCGGCCGCCGCCGCTGCTGCGTTAGACGCACTTACGGCGGCTGCTGTCGTCGTCACAGCCGTTGCCGTCGCCGTACCGCTGGCGGTCTGCAGCTGTATGGTCTGTGGCTGTGACTGCTGTTGAACCGGCTGGATCTGCACGGTGGTGGTGCCCGTCGAGGTCTGCTGATGCTGTTGCTGCGGCGCCGGCGCCTGACAGATCTCAATCTTTGTGGATGCCGGCAATGTGGCTGTTGTGGTCACGTGCTGGTTGTTCGTGCTCTGGATGATGGTCGGTGCCGGCGTGTTCGACTGGGCGGTATGCGTGGTAATGACGGTGCCGGCACTGTTGATTTTCACGACGTTCACCTGCTGTGGTTGCTGTTGTATTTGTTGTGGTTGTTGTTGTTTTTGCGAGCGATATTTGTTTGTAGATGAGTTGTAGTGAGTGTGTAGTTATGTGTGTGTGTGTATGTGTGATGATGATGTTGATGGGCGTGTTAGTCGAACGGAGAATGAGAAAACATTGATGTCCAAAAGTTAACATTATATTTATCGTCAATAGTTCCATTATTAATAGAAACCCAACCACCCCAACCACCCCAACTCAACCCAACTGAATTGTATAGATGCAATAACGAGCCCAATACTTACATTACTCGTGGTGGCCGTCGCTGGTGTTACTGTTTGCACGGTTTGAATGGTCGCAGTATTCGAGAGCTCCATATCCTCGTCCTCATCGCCCGACTGGGAGATCAGCGCGTTCACCTTGTCCTCGTCATCGGCGAACGTTGGCAACAGGTCCTCGCGTCCATGATACTTGTAGCAATTGATCACGATCTTCCGGAGCGCATGCGTCCAGCTTATCTGCAAGGGGGCAAAGTCGATTAGCCGACAACGCACGTAAAACGGGGTAGCTGTTGAACACCCACCCCACCCACCTTCTGCTTGTCATCTTCGGAGCGTGCATCCATACGAACATTGGCCCACGGCAGCTCTTTGGGCCACCAGGGAGGTCGCGTTGACTCGCGTCCCCAGCCGGGCTTGCCTCGACCCGTCGAGTACTTCAGCATGAGCGGTATGAAGGCGCGCAACTGCGCCTGCGTCATCTTCTCAACCGGCGTGGGTATGCCATCGATGACCAGTCCAGGCAGCTCGAACAGGGATGGATCCTCTTGTGGGGGAGGCGGCGCCTGTTGAGCCAACGCATTGTCCAGCTCGTCCATGACAATGTTCTTCAGATTTCGCAGCACATCCTCCAACGGCTTGGCACCGAACACTTTGTAGCTGGTATTAGGTTTGCCCGGGGTGGCTACCAGTACCACTGCCTGCTTGCCCACACGACCTGTGAATTCGTAAATGATGCCACGTAGCTTGCGCAGCAGTCGATTCTGCTGGCGCTTGCGAACCGAAGGATTCGTTTCGAACGAGTGCGGACGCTTGCGTTTCTTCGACGAGGCAATGGCTGCTGCAGCGGCCACACCCACCGGTCCAGCGGCTGCCAGCTGGTGAGCCACATCATCGTTTACGTTCAAGTCGCCATCGTACATGCTTCCCTCACTGCTGATGATGTCATCATCGTCGTCGTCCGTGCCCAGGCTCTGTATGTCATCGTCCAGCATCTCGATCTTGTAAGTGGTGCCATTTGTTTGCTGTGACGCCACCGCTGTCTGTGTTTGTGTGCTGCCCGTCGTCGTGATGGTGGTCACATTGAGTCCACCACCCGCGTTGCTACCACCGCTAACCACGGTGGCGGTGCCGCGATTACTGCTGGCCGGCGCTACGACCAGCCGATAGCTTGTGGTAGCCAGTCTGGTGGCCGTGGTGTGGCAACGTGTGGCGACGATTTTAGGGACTCGGTTCCTCTTCGGCTTAGGACCCAGGCACCGACTCAACTGCGGACCTCTTCCTCAAGCAAGCGCTCTCTTCAATACGCCTCCTATATTCTTCGTATTCGCATGCGCACCTTCCTTCAACTGGCAATTCTATAAGAAACAGAGAATAAGAGAGATAGAAAGAGGCGTTTAATTTAAGTTTCAGCTGCGCTGCCGCCCCAAGCCTCCCACACTCTCCCTCACCCAAACACTTTCTTTGCCGAGCGACTCTGAAAAACAAGTGCACAAGTGCTCACGCTATAATTGAAATTATTATTCTATATAGATGTATGAACATGTCTGCACATGTGTGTGCGTGTGTGTACGTGTATGTGTGTGCACCACAGCGAATTATAATGAAAACGAAGCGCACAGCACAGCCACAACGGCGAGAATAAAAATATAAAAAGAACACAACAACTGATAAGCGAGCTCGCTATGACTCGTAAATCGGGTCAAAAGCGCGCATGCGCGACTGTTTCAACAGCAACAACAATATCCACAACAATGACAAATAGAACAACAAAATGTTTTATAACAGCAAATAATTTCAACAGTCCGCAGATTAGCGACGCCATCGTCATTATAAAGAAAATAATGAAATGTTGTTCATTACCCAACAGCCCATGCATATATGTATGTACTATGTACATACATATAGTACATAATATGGTATAATATGTACTCGTTCGTACACACATCAATCCAAAAATTCAAAATTCTAGTTACTTGAAAATAGATCAAACAGACAAGTGTGCTAGATTCTACCCATCAATAGCATTAAGAACTGATCATAAAACACTTAATCCTCTCATTTAATTTATGGGAAAAAGCCAAAACATGAGGCTTTTCCCTTTTTTTTTACATACGGTTTTCATATCGAGTGGAAAAGAGAACATTTAAAACTGCACTTTCTCACAACTGTTCAATTGATTACAATGACATCAATCCAATTTTGGAACATTCCTGAATGAATAGAAATATTCGATTTTCCTCAAAGACTCATGGCTTGACGTTTATGGTTTGTGAGATCGTTATTAAACAAAAAACACTTTTAATTTGTGCTTAAAAGTTAATACTCAATCGTTGTATAAATAAAAAAAATTCTGTTCGAATGTCGTTGCCAACTAAACTTAAATTAATTACATTGTTTGATCGGGTTATTATCTAACTAATATCATCTTTATTGTGGCAGAGTCGATGAGTCCAGAGAATTTTGTGTCAGTACAGTGCTGAGTTGATTTAAAGCTTGGGTTTTTGATGGCGATGAAGAAAAAAGTAATCCGCCCCCTAAATGCAAAGAATTATCGCTGCAATTGTTTCTACCCCGGCCATATATTTTCAGTGCTAAGCTTTCAGATGAAGAACGGATAGGTTATCAGTTTTCAGTTGCCGAAAAATGTAACAAACCATATTTCGCATTCGTCGCGTTTTCGACTTATTGTGCGAAACTCGCAATATACAATATCTTTAATGGCCGCTGCACGTGCGCTGTCTGTAATTTTCCACATACATACACACACACACACACACACACACACACACACACACACACACACACACACACACACACACACACACACAATAAAAGTAACAATTTTTTGCATACAAAAAAAAAAAAAACAAAAACAATTTTCACAAAGTTTGCACTTCTCTTACTCCCGGATTTAAATTACAATTAATGCATGTCTTTTCCAATTTGAATTTTCAACTGTATTATTTGTGTGTGTACCTCTTTCTCATGTACTTTATGTTTACTTATTCTCTATATGCACAAATGTAATATGCAAATCGGTTTTTGTATTATAGCACGCACTTTGCACTTTGTCAAAAATTTGAATTGAAAACAACAACAACAACAAAAAACGGCAATGGAAAGGAGGAAAATAAACAAATTATAGCTATTTGGTTTTTACTTTTTACAAATGGAAACACAACACAGCTCGTTCAACTCACAACGCAAACGCAACGCACAGAAAACCGTGTGCAAGTGGAATATTGTATCTGTATCTAGAAATGGTGTATATATTGTTGTTGTTCCCTGGCCGGCCCTGCCGAAGTTCTATTTGCGTTTGCTCAGACGACGACGACGCCGACGACAACAGCAAAAGCAACGCGCACACGGTTACAACAACAGCGTTAACGTCAGCGGCAGCGGCAACGACAGCGACAATAATAACAACAACTAGAACAAAACAAAAAACGAGCGCGAAGAGCGAACGTGAAAGCGAAGCGAACCACACTGCGCCAAACCACCCCACGGATTGACTGACTGGATTTTCGGTGGCAGCGGCGGTGGCGGCGACGCAGTTAAAAATCAATACTGCGCCCATGCGTCGACGTTACGCCGTGTGAGACGGCAAATGAGAGATAACCATACACACACAAAATGTTCTCACTGTGTTTGTTAGTGTGTGTGTGTGTATGTGTGGAGCGTTGGGGTGCACACGGAGGAAAAAGCCTTTTCTGGCATATATATGTATGTATGTACTCGACTCGTATGTCTTTCTTTACATGACGCCGCGTGTGAGATTCTTCGGTCCAGACTTATAACAAATAAATGCAAGCTTAGCGCATCGTTGCAGTCGTCGAGCCACCGACCACCGGACAAAAAGAACTTGGTGTAAAAGCTCCTAAAAGCTGCACTTGCTGGCAAAAGCTTCCGCACTTGCATGCGTGCCCAGCTAACACCCCCAAGACCCAGGTCGCATGCCAAAGAAAGAGAGAGACAACCATAGCTACAGCCTCTCTATATGTGCAATACAGTTAAAAAGTAAGGGCTCGGGGGTCCAAGCTGCGCAGCTACTACCCCCAGAAGACCAAAGAATAACAACAACGACAAAAAAATCCCCCATCTCCCATATGTCTGTTTGCAACAACAACAAAAGCAACAACAGAACACGCAAACTCATTGGGCTCAGCCCTACCATATGGCCGAAGCTACGCATGCACTGCACACAACAGACACGCTTCTCTCCCTCTCCAAAACAGCCAGTTCGACAAACTACCACCCACCCTTAAAGAAGAAGCAGAAAAAAACCACCCCACTGCTGCGCTGATTAGGCAAGCTTGTTTCACTTGCGCCCTGGCGTGTGCCTGCCACCAAGTCGGACGGCCAGACAATCCAAAAACATCACAGCCAGCCCAACACTACTACAGTAGTGGCCAGCAAAAGTGGGCTGTCGTCAATATATGGATTGGAAATTTGTCGATTTTAACAATGAAGTTTTTCTTACCACCTAATAACGCTATCGGTATTTGTTGGTAATAGATAATCATGCCGATTCTAAATCCAAAAACAAACACAGCTAAATCTGTATTTCTTCTAATTATTAAAAATGTTTTATAAACTGAAAAAATGTTCTTGGAAACACTACATTTTATCTTGAATTTTTCGAAGTTGTCTGCGTACTTCCTCTCAGTAATGCAATATATGAATATAGGTGTGTGCATACTTATATACTTACTACATAAAGGAATTGAACTCTGTATTTTTTTGGTCTTGACAGGCCTGCACGCCTTCAAAAATAATAAATAATGTACCAAATAGCACTTTCGTTGCATATTTAACTTCACTCTTAACTACAATGATCTGTACATTTTTCACTTTACTGACACTTTTTATTATTTCATTGTTTATTTCTGTTGCAAGCGATGTAAGTATGTATGTATGTATATACTAAGTTTCCAGAACTTTGCATGTTTATATTGCGAGTGTTATTTTTCTATATGCAAGCAGCTAATACTTACATATACATACATTATCAATGTAATTTGTTTGTACAACGGTAGTTACGTTTGCTGTGCCCATTTGAAACCACTTTGTTTATTTTAAGACTTCATATTTCACATTTCAATGAAAATGAACCTTAGGTATGGGCGTTGTGTATCGTATTTAAATGTCGAACTTAAGGTGCTTAGTCAAAAAGCTAGAAGCCGTTATATAATTTGAAGAAATTATCACACTAACTTTTAATCAATTTTATTTCGATCTTATTGCAAGCCGTTCTTAGTAAGTAGTAATTCTTAAAATGCACAGTTTCTTAAGCAAACAAAAATCCCAACAATTTGAAATAATGTATAAACAACGTTCAGTCGTTAAATGGAAATTGTGAAAAGTGCTGCAATGTACCTGATGTTTATTGTGATCCACAAGTAGATTGAATTTAATTAACACTATTTTCATTAGAACTGTGTGTTTTGATTATCCTACAGAACTTTTGTGTACGTGAATCCTTGACATGTATGTACATACACACATGATCAATTAAATTTTACATTAAGTTGTAAGTTATGGTTTATGTATGTATGTACATGTCTCCTGATGATGGTGCCATTATTTTTATGGCCAGCATTGTATAATCGCTAGGGGGTGCGTGCGCAACGGTAAATTGACATTTCATTCTAGCTCTGTTGGTTGATTTCTCATGAGAAACTGCGCAAAGTTGAAAAAAGTGCGCTGAGAAGCATGCTACATAACAAGTTTCGCCAGTTAAGTACACATGTATGTATGTATGTAGATGTGTCTGTTATGTGCAAGTAGGTTTACTCACGCAGTTACGTACGCTTATATATATCTAGCTGCTTAAAAGCGCACATAATCTGAAATAAAAATTAACGTACCTACAGTGTATTTATTACCTCAGTCCCATTACTGATAATAAAAGTCAGTATTCTAAAATTGTCAAACATACTTGTATGCCATACATACATACATATGTATAAACCTTGGTAATCGTTGTGCAAGATGAACGGTAGCAACGACAAAATACATATATTTGTGTGTGTAGGCTTCTGTAGTCACGAGTCAATGCGTCGTGTGTCAGTTTATTGGGATTGGGTGGCCAATGGGTGGATGCCTTAACTTTCAGCAGCATCCGTTAAAAGCTTTGCCAGGCACTATTGTTGCAATTTAGCATACGCTAGGGCCACACTGGCTATTTGTCTAGCGCCTGTCCTGGTTTTAGGCGGGGTCACACTGGTTCACAGATGGCAAAATAGACTTGCTAGACTAAACTAAATGCGCTAAATTCTTTGTGAGTTTTGGCTATTTTTAACAATATGAGAGAGCGAGAACAGCAGATAAAGAGAAAGGTGCACACCGAGTTGAAAATGCGCCAGCGTCGCCACCGTTGTTGTCACAATGCAGTGCGACGTCGCCGCAGTCTCAATTTTCTTAAAAATTATTTTTGTTCGAAATCAACGAAAACACCAAATTTTTTCTAGCTGACTTGCGCTGTATACCTTAAATTTGTATACACATGAATATATGTACATGTGTACATGTTTTTATGTGTATAAAAGTGCATGCGCCCGCCGCCTAAAAGTATCTCCCACTGCGTCAGCGCACTCACTGTCAGAAACACCACACACATACACATACGTATGTATGTATATATGTAAATACATAAATATAAACGACAGTGTCTGGCACAGTTGGGCGCATGTTAGAGCCAACAGCAGAAATAACGTGGATGGCGGCCCCCGCTCGAAAAGCATTATAAATAATCAATACCTCATAATGTTCTATCTCTTGGCGCAACTGAGCAAAAGAAAGAGCGACCCAATGTATGTACGTGTAGACGTACCTATGCGACGGCGCTTGGCAACGTCAAGTACACACACATGCATATGTACATATCTACATACATACGTCAAGTCTACAAAAACAATAATATGATAAAGTAAAGTTACGCATGCGGCGATGGCGCACACCAAAAACCACAACCCAACGCATGCCCCGTTGAGTTTAAAGTATATTTGTTACTGTATGTTGCCCACATACATATACACACACATACTGAGCGACAAAAATGCAATTGTAAGAAAAGTGTTTATATGTATATCGGATGAGTGACTCAATATTTTGAAAGCCTTCCGCTTGAGGCTACCACTGGTAAATGCTCAAAAGTCCAATTGGAACTGTACTTGTTACGATTTTAGGTAGCTAACAACAACCACACTTGTATGTTTGTATGTGCGCGTGTCAGTGTGTAACGGCTCCATGTAAGAGCGGAGGCTGCAAGCATACTGCCATAATCAGCAAACGAAGCCAGCAACACATACACACACATAAATGCAAGCATATGACTCTGACAACGACTGTGACTATGCAACCCTTATGTGGATTTTGTTTAAAAACAGTCACGGTCAGTCATATAGTAACAGTCTATCATAATAATGAATAGGTGGAGAAAAATGTTTAATTATGAACACGTTATACTTGCAATTTTGTATGAACTTTCAATATTCAATAAATTTTATATTTTAAATTTTTAGGATTTTATTTTTCATGTCTGAAGAATTGGGGCAGATAATATTATCACATTTTGTTTGATAACATAAAGAATTGTTCGTCTTGCGCCCTATCATATTATTTATATAATATTGTTTATACTCTTTAAAAACCAATGTTTTTTTTTATAAACATAACATTTTATAACATAAGCTTTGTAATATTGCTTGCCTCATTAATCCTCAAATACTATCAGGCTTGCTCTCGTTTTCGATCGCATTTACAAATTATGACGTTGGCATTTCAATCAAAGTTTTTGTTGTTGTTCTTATTGCTCGTATGTACATATCTTCCTCTACTTCCACTGAAGCAAAGGAAACTTTTTGAAACCGAGCATTGTTTTCGGAAACAGGAACAATGAGCAATACCCAAAATTTTTTATTAAAAAAAATGCTTATTTATATGCGCCGAACATCTCTAGCAGAATTGGCTGGAGTAGCGTGACTACCGTATTGGCCCGCACTGTTGTGTGTGTATCTGGCAGCCCGCATTTTGGGGGTGGCTGGCCGGTGCTTAGTGCGCAACTCAACCCCTATGTGGAAGCAACGCACACACGCACGCATTTTTCCAGCCAACAAGAATCGCATCAATTCAAATTGGAATTCGGAGCAACTTTAAATCCAGTTAGAGAAAATAAATGAGAAAAAATGAAAGCCTCTGGGGTATAAATTACGCATACGACATGTATCACCATACAAAAAAAAAATGGTGGGGGTTGGCAAGGGGGGGGGGGGGGTGGCAAATAACTCACAATGTCGGGCGCATGCATGAATTCCGGACATTCGCAGTCCGCATTATGGACACGGCGCCGTTGCCGCGATTCTTGTTGGAGCGACAGCCCATGCGCTTGCAAATAACAAATAAAACTACAAACGGAAAATGGGAGGGCGACACAACAAACGGTATCATTGTCTGTATGTGTGTATGAAAAAGGACAAAGACTGTTTTAGTTACCTAACATTGGTGCACACGCAAGGACGCCCACACAGACATATACTACAGCATCCTTTTTACAGCTACAAAAATAGCCCAGAAATATGCAATTATACGCTTCTTATAAAAAAAATGGCGCGCCCTAAGTGCTGGGCAGGCTTACCAGCGTTTTAACGAAACCACCCCACCCCTTTTTTGTTTGTGGAGCAGCCGAAAGGTTTTCAGCGACAGCGCATGTAAATTAGCTCCTTAGCTTTAAGTATCGTACGCGTGCTAGCTTTGTAGGCATTTTTGTTGGCTCAATTGGATTTTGCGTGAAAAACTTTATGCTTACTGCGGCTGTCTGCACTAAAGCTTTTGCGCTGCGCTGCGCGTGCCACACACACACACACACCCACACAGAGGCACATAACTGTATGTATGGAGCAAGCCCAGTGCGAAATTGCAGTGGAAAATCGAAAATTCTTCACGTCTGCGTCGTTCGCAGCCGACACATACATACTTATGCACATGCATAGAAGTGTATGTATGTGTGTATATTTAAAGATATGGTATAGAGGTACGCACCTGCGTGTAAAATTTACACTCAATTATTGTTGTTGTCGCCTGCGTTGTTGACCCGCGGCGCGCCGTCGAACGCTTACGTTTTCTATTGTTGATAACAGCAGCCAAAGGAAGTGCAAACACACACCGCTTAAGAAGCAGAGGGCACGTACACCCGCGCAGAAAAATAATATGAACTATATGGCGTAAATATACATATACATATATACAAATGCAACAACACACACGCGCGTTGGGAGTCGCGCGTTCTCAGCTCTCTGCCAGCAGCTAACAGCTAGCCAGTGGATACGAATTTTGACTACACGGCTACGACGCCGCCGCCAACGTTCTTTGCCGTGGTTGGTGCGTAGTCTCGTTTATTATTATCACACTGCACATGCGAATATTTAATGCATCTTTACTTATGCGCACTGCCTTTGGCTGCAACTTTTTTGCGTTTCGTGTTATGTGTAGTTAAATTTTCTCGTTTTCTTTTCGCACGAAGAAGAAGCAGCCTTTTGTGTACAACCATCAAAAGTAGCTTTTACGGGGTGAGGTGTGCAAGGCGCCAGCTATCGAGTAAGAACATTTGGGTATCGAGTAGTCGATACGCCTAGAACTTGCAATCGATTCTATTTCCGTCCGTCGTATGTACACACTGTTATCTTGGCAACCAACGGCTCAATTTTAAATTAATTTGCGCGCTTCTCAAAATATAACTATAAAAAACAGTAAAATAAAAAAAATTTAACAAAAAATGGTTCACTTCAATCGCATATTCAATATTTGTTGAATTTATCTTATTAATTGATTTACAATTTTTTTTATTCAAGCACTTTCTGGTTGTTTAACTATCACACATAAGCCCTTCACAAGGCAGCTAGCAATATCGGATTAAAATCGAGCTATGCGCACCAAATGAAGGACTCATATGCAACGCAAAAAAATACATTGCACTTCATTTTTATTCTTCGCACTGTTGCTCCGATCGTTCCGGCAACGCACTGTAAACTACTGTACATCGTTCGTAAGTGCTAGCTTATATACATATGTAAACCCATCTCGGCATCGGAAACCACACTTATGTATGTATACTTTTCGAATAAGCATATTCATTTATATGAATATTACGATAATGTTTAATACATACAAAAAACCAAAGCAGCAAGCAACAATTTCTACGAAAAATATACTTTTTTTGACAAAGACCCGCAGGCCAGCACAGGCACATGGCTCCATGGCTTATCGGCAGTTTCTGAACCTATACGGCATACCCGCTTGTCCTACTCAGCACTCTGTGTATAGCTTAGGCTCGGCTGCTGCTTCTCAAAACGGATATCTACTTTTTCTGAATTACATTCTTTAGCTTATCGGCAGCAAGTAAAAACATACATACATATGTATGTACTATACATCTATATACATCCAACTTGTATACCAAGAATTTATTGCTGCCGTTACTTTTCGTAGACAGGCATTGGGTATTTCATCGGTCTTTATATTATATAACGGTTTAATATACAAATAACGGTCTTATCGGTCTTTAATATTTAATATACACACATAGAAACTGAACGTACATAGAATAGCTACATACATATACATATATGTGTGTAAATGCATGTATATTTCTACTATACTGGATATACATATGTATACTCCTCCTAACTCTTAAAGTAAAGTTCTCGAAATATATATTATGTATATTGATCGTTTTAAAGATATATTGTAAGGCCACAAATGGACAGATTTTCGATTCGGACAGAATCAGCGAAGGGTATACTCTTAAGTGTAAATTCTTAGCTCCTTATAATATTCTGGAGTGAGTAATGCCCACAGCCCCCTTATATTTTGCTTATGCTTTTGTTATTATACTTATTCTAAATTCTAGTGGTCAACACATTTATTTGTGATATAGGGGCTCGCGTGAGTAGGACTTATACATATGTACATATATATATATATATATATATATATATATATATATATATATATATATATATATATATATATATATATATATATATATATATATATATATATATTAGTAAGTATATACTCGTACATACATAATGAGCTGGCATCTAATGATAGATTTTATAGTTTAATAACGAAAAAGCAGTGCATCACATATTAATGTATCTCAGAATGTTTTTAAAGTTCTACGAGAAGCTAATACCTCCAATATTCTTTAAATTTCGCTTATGTCAATAACTTCTTAACTTCGGCAAATTTGAAATTTCCATGGGTAATTAATTGAAAATAAAACCCACAAAAAAAAGGAAGGTTCTTTGTCAGAAGAGGGCGTGGCAGACCCCCAAAGTATATATACAAGTATTCTTTATGGGAAGACGAGTCGGCCGAGTTCCGTCCGTCCGTCTGGATGAACACAAGGATCTCGCAAAGAAGAAATGCTAGAATAACCGAACAGCCCCCGCTGCCCCACCTAAATTTATGATATAGACGCAATCCATATGCGATATTGATATATAATTATTTAAGAGTTGAGAATTCATGCCCGTATAAACTATAAAAAGTACAAAATATACACATATTCTTGATAGACATGACCTGATCACCTAGATCTCGAAGACTATAGGTGCAAGATACACCAAATTATTTTCCCAGGTGCCTTGTCCCCCCACTCCCTCGCTATTAGCGGTTTTCCATATCTCCCATAATTCTTGGCATTTTTAACTCAAATTTGGCATATAATACAGTTTGTGGATGTCGCTGTTCTTGTTCTCTTTGTGAGTTCGAATACCCAAGGAGTTATAATCGATCAAACATTTTTTATTATTATTACAATTTCGTTAATTTTTTTTCAATTTTCTTAATTTGTTTGAATTTCTATAATTATACATAAGTTCAGAGTATTTAAAATGCGGGGCACCCGGGCGTAGCTTTTGACTTCTTTTTATTTGTGTGTACACTCATACACATAAAATTGGCGGGAGCCTTGTTAGACAAACTTTAAATAAGTTTCATAAGGAAAACGCATCTATCTCAAGTCTTTAATATCATACCTTGCTTAGAGTAAGTAGTTCATAACTAGACTGTATGAATTGATAGGATTCTTATGGCTCTTTCAATCTTTACGAAACAACGAACAAAAGTTAAACATAAATCTATATTAGATCGATTTATAAATGTATGCTATTTTTACCGTTGTAACGTTTTTAAATTATTTTTTACGAGTGTCTGAAAAAGAATGGATTGGTCACTGACTTACGCCCAGTCACGAACCAGTTTATAAAAGGGGAAATAGAGAGAATTGTTTGCTTTTCAATGTGGGAAAGAATATACATATATGTGTGCTCTATGTTGTTCTTACCTTGTCAAGAGGTTAAAGATGCCAGAAATCGATTCTTTGTGATATATACATATACATACATATATAATTACAATTAACATGGAATATAGCATAGATGCGTAATACAGTACTGCTCATTTGATTAATAAAAACTTTATGTTTGTCCGAATGCATTTCTTTCAAAAATCAAGCGACTAGATAGTGAAAACTTTTTGAAATCATACTATTGGGAATTTAGGGCAGATACACCGGGCATTAGCTTGTCGTGGTAATCAAGAATGTGTAAGTTGCTCCTTCTCGATGTCATATATACGTGGCTGCTCGTTTACATTGTTATTTTGCAAAAACAGCACACAAAGTAAAAAAAATAAACAAAACAAATAAAAACAAATTCCCAGTTTACAGGCTTGTACAAATTTTATTCTGACTGCCTTTAATCGAGCCTGATTTCAACACAAATAAGTACTTACTTCGAACAGGCACGCATTTTATACAGGACACTGGGACTAGGACAACTGAAGTGCCTGTGGCAAGGGTGAAAGGGGGAAGGCATTGAGTGCACTCTCAAGTTGCGCAAGTTGGCGCTGACAGGGCTTAACAGCTCCATTAGTCCTTGCACTCAACACAGTGACCCAATTCGGTTTGATGAAGGGGTCAGTTGACAGTTGAGAGCATCGTTGGCTCAAATATGTTGATGCGTTTTTATTTAAAACAATAATACACACACACACACACACACACACTCAAACACGCCACTTTCAATTTAAAAGCGACTTTTAGGACCTTGCGTCGTCCTGTCGCCAGCCAGGATGGCGTATCGCGAATGTGCAACGTGAAGTCAACAACGCTCACCAACACAATGTAAGAAGTTTCTGTTGTTTTCTGTTGATGTTTTTAAGGCGCACTCACAAACACATGCACGGGCATGGGCACGGACATGGATATGGATACGGATATGGGCACCGATAAGGACACGTTGCTATGAAAGAAAAACAACACAAGAAAATACAACAACATAACAACAAAAATTAATTTGGCGGACTGCTGTCCCACATGGCCACACGTTCAAAATCCTTGTGGCACTGGCATTGGCATTGGGAACCAACCAAGCGACCGACCGACCTAGCGTCCACTTCTATAGTACGTATGAATGTATGTATGTATGTATATATATACATATGTATGTATGTATATAAGCTGCATAAATATGTATGTTTGTGTACCTAACGCCCGACAGTTGTACATAAAACGTGAGTACTACGCGCCCTCTATGCATGGGTGTGTGTGTGTGTGTGTGTGTATATATATATGTATGTATGTACTTAATGTTGCTCATACGCAACGTATCACACTGTAACGTAGCGTGGCGACGTTTGCGCCTGCGTCTGTTTTGATATGAAAAGACATTGTCCTGTTTGGCTTTTTTGCGCTTTGCTTTTGCAAATAGTTTCGCCCGACGTGGGGGCGCTGCAATAAAATTGTAAGGTGTTTTAGTTTAGTGTGTGCACACCATTTTATTATATGTAAAAGCAATATACATTACTAATTTACTTGAAGCAAGAATTCACCAAATTTATATATCTAATAAAATAATTAGTAAGGTTACAGAGCACTTTTGAACATGTCGCTTAATACTAATTATCCACTTAAAGCAAGAATTCACCAAATTTATATACACATGCACTATTATGCACAAAGAATTAGTTAAGTTACAGAACACATATGAACATGTCGCCATTTAAAATGATTTTGAAGATATTACGAATCAAAATCCGTTGCTGGAACACCTTTTATATGCTAAATTGTGCTTTTTATACCAACACATCTACATACATACATATATATGTATGTACATTTTTGGAAAACAGAAAGGAAATTACCTTTAAGGAAGCTGCAAATATTTCAAACATAAAAACTATCAAACAACAAGTTAAACAAGTTGTTGGACGAGTTTGGTAAATATTTCACTTCATTTTAAAATTATACGCATTTTGAAAAATGAAAACAATATTATTATTGTCGGACTACAGACACTACTTAAAAGGTTTTGGCAAGAGCTACCAATATACAAATTTTAGATTAAGGAGTCGAATTTTTTCCTTGCGAATTATTTTACTTATAAATGATATTTTTTAGCACTAGCAACTCTAAACAGCAGTTAAAAGTACTTGACGGTAGCGCATGGATGGTTCGTCTGAGGCCGAAGCTTAAATAACCTTCAGCTTGGTCCTTCACATTTTACGCTTATTTGTTTGACCTTGTGCGCTGTTTTTGTTTTACTTACTTGTACACACACACACACACACACACACACACACACACAGACAGGCAACACACGCGCGCAAAAGCACACTCACACACATACAATAGCCTATTTACCGTTATGTGCTTGTCATTATTGATTATTTTGATTTGCCACACCCCTTTTGCATGCGACAGTCTGTCGCCGCCTGCACGCGCCTCCTTTTTGGACCGCCTGTAGTAGGGGGAGCAAATCCAACAACAACAGCAGCAGCAGCAACGCTCGTGTGGCACCATCTCCATTTCCCAATACATAAGTACGAATGTGTGTGTGTTTATTCAGGTCAAACGATTTTGTTGATTCTCATTTATTATACAAAAAATATTTGTTTGTTCTTTTATCAGCCTGATCGCAACAAGGTTAGTAATGCTAATATTATTGCCCATGTCTCTTTCATTTCAATTATAAAAATGAAAAACAAAAGCCGTTTATTTGAAAATTGTGTTTCGAAAGCATTTTACTTTTTGTGCTTACATTAAGTTTGGTGAAGCTGAAAACCAATAAATTTACTAACAGATCGGAACTATTTTCGGAATATACATATAAATTATAACGAAAAACAGCTTCGTAATACCATATTATAATTTAAACAATGATTCCTGTATCGATTTTAAGGTTACATTACAAACTTATCTTCTTCGAATTGTGAATTTTCGGGTCTGTTTGCTACACTGAAGAAGTTAGGAAACAGGCCTGATAGAAGCGTAAATAAATAGTTGCCATACAAAATTGTTTGCTGACTATTAACCTAATTATAAATATAAAATATGTGAATGTGGATACATCTATTGGTATTTGACCTGATGGGGAACGTATGCATATTAATCGCATATACATATATAATAATTGTAGTTGATTTTATAAAGCAACAGTAACAAACATCACAATACAGTGCACGCAAAACAAAAAGTACATGATAACAAAGGCACATCAGCCAAAGTGCCTCACAGTGCCGTTTCAATTCTGAAATAGCTAGGCTTTCGCGTCAAAGTGGGGAGGAACTCAAAAACATATTTTACGCATAACCAAAGCCTTAATCTACGCCGAGGCGCAGGGTTTGGTTAATCCAAATACTATGCATCATTTTAGTTTAGGAGTACTGCGTATGTGGATTGACATTTATCATCTCCATGTTGCTGCTGTATGAGGAATAAAAGAGGGTAGAATTCGAGCGGTTAATTAACTGACCACATCAATAGCTAGATAGTACAAAAATACTGATAAACAGCTTGGTTTTTTTTTTCAATTTGAAAAATACTTATCGCGCACCATGATTTGCTAATCGGAATTTTTTGAATGAGATATGGAATAGGCTTGATGGCTTTAGCTCATTTGAACCGTTTCAATTCACGACAATGCTGCGATGGAGGGACGGAGTAATGAAGGATGTGAAATGGGTGTGAAAAGGTAATAAGCGATATTTGTGAGCTTACCTGCGGCTGCAACGCATGTGAATAAAGAGCAACACCAGGCCGAGCGTCACGCAGATGGCGCCGACCACAATGTAAGCGATGCCGAGGAATGGATTCTTGCCTCCCAATACTGAGGTGGTAGATATGATCATGCGCTTAGTACCGTCAAACGACATCACTGGGTAGTCTGTATAGATATATAAATTAGTTAACCAAAAGGCAGTTACAGATTTTAACGGGTGAACTTACTATAGTCCACGATTAGTTCGTAATTCCCTGCCTTAAGTCCGCTAGTATATTTGGTATCTGTTCGATTCAGGCGTCTGTACAGCTTACGAAAACTGGGGAGGGCAGCAGTGCGCATCCAGACAATGAAATCCTCATTCTGGAAACCATTATTATTCTCATTCGTTAAATCCAACTGATAAAGTTCCTTTTTCCAGAATTTTGGCTTGGCAAAACCGGTAAGTGCTTCCTGAAGTTTCTCGGGGTTTCGGAATTTAACGCGCTTATCCGACGGCCAGGCAATGCCCGTATTGAACATACTGATTTCCGCTCCATTCTGAGTTAACTTTAGGGTGTCTGTAGACAGGGAAATGCATAAATGAAATATTTTATCTGTTGGCTGAGTCAATATCAATTTGACGCACCATTGAACAGGGAGTTCGCTATGGCTCCACAAGGTGCAATAGGCTTGTCATTATCCATGGCGAAGGGGGCGCAGTCCGTGCTGGGAGTTAGTGACAGCCGACCCAACAATTGATCGTCATCGCGCGACTTCACATAACGTCGATGATTTTGGTAATAGTTGGTGAGTCCATAGTACATGTAAACGTCTCCCTGTAAAATTGACATAGTTCATTCCCTTGGATAATGACATTAATTAAGTTGCTATATTCACATTAAAGTCATGTTCTAGCGTAAAATTTATCTTGCATTTGCATGTGCTGTCTATATCAGCTTCTAGTATGCTGGCACAGGTCTTCCCGGTGCTGTTATCCTGGCATTTCGTGTAGTCGATAATCAGTTCATTTGCTGAATTGGAGAAGTGCAGCAGCACCACACCAATGGGTATAAACAGAATGCCGATGATGAAGAAGGTGGGCAACACAGTCCGTGCAGTTAAAACGGGTTGCCAGGCGGGTAGTCGTTGCTGCTTAAATGCTGAGTCTGTAAGGGTAAATTTGGTAGGTAAGGCAGATGTTAAGAGGATGCGTCATGAAACTTTATTTTGATGTATCTATGTGTATGTGTGCGACCATGTGGACATTCATTTTAAAATCAATCAATAAGTATTAGTCATTTTACGCATTGTTATCGCAAGCAAACAAACACACACAGAGCACATATCCAGCCCAGCGCCTACAACTTGTTACATATGTATGTATGTATGTATGTCTATGTAAGAATTGTATGAGTATGTTGCATGTTGTGTATTTTCACCTGAAGGTCGCTTCGACTTATGCCTTGCAGTTGTTTCCTCGTTTTCGGTATTTTGCGTGGCCATAGCGGGTTAAGTACAGAAGACAAAACAAAACCCAAGATATTTTCTAAAAGCTATAAAAATCGCGTTCTATTACGCTACGCAACGAACGCAATCAAATAGGTAAATACAAAGAATTTTCACGATACTACTGTAAGCTACTCACTGGCTGTATTTGCAAAGGTATCGTCTGATAGTATCGATAGTCGATAGGCGGGATGCGGACACTAGCAATCTAGTGTAGCTCCATGGGCTTCGGCTGATGTACCCATGAAAAATATATCAAAAATAAAGATCAAAAAAGAATTCAGGTTCAATTGTGTATCTACGCTTCAAAATTTAATGTATTTTTTTGGCCCAAAATTATGGTAGAACACGAACAGAGCGCCTGCCGCATTGTCCTGTAGTTGCACTTTCCAGCACTGGCCCGACCTATCGATACTGTCGCTTTATTTGATGTCGCGTTATTTGATATGCGTTGTTTTTTCTATTCACTTAAAATTATCTTTTTTATTTTGAAATGAATGATAACATAACTAAAATTATAATAATTGCGTGCTTAAAGTTTAAACGATAGCGCCTCATTCAAAACTCCGATAACATCGGCGATAGTTTTGTGGGTACCACCCCTACTACAGCGGTATTTCGCTGATTCCAAAACAACAAAGCAGAGAAAAGAAAGCGAAACACAAAGCAAAGAAGCGCAAGTTAAAAGTACAAGAACATATAGAGCTCGCGAACGGCAGCCAGAAGCGACAGTCGCACCAACCACAGAAGCTCTTATAATTATAATTTGCGTTGCTCTGCAGGGCGGCAGGCGACCATCTCAATATCCACTGTGTTGTGTTCAAAACCTAGTTAGTCGGTGACAGTGACTAGTGATTAAGAACTATAAAAACAAAACAAACCAACTATAGTACAGTTGATCTGCATAGTGCTCCGGCAGCAATAGCTATAGTATCGCACACCTAAACCACAATGAAAATCACAGTCACCACCACCGATGATAGGCTATTTATATTGGATGTTGCCGAAGATCTTGAGCTGGAGAATCTTAAGGCTCTGTGCGCCATGGAAATTGATTCACAGGTAGAACAAATCGTAGTACTCTTCAATGGCCAGGAGTTGGCGAACGACAAGCAGGCTCTGCGTAACTTTGGCGTGCGCGACGGCGACTGCATAATGTTAGAGAGGCGCAGGAGCACTGGCAATCGCAACGCTGGCGCAGGTGAGTGGGCGCGCAAACGCGAACATGGGTGAGGGTCGTTTATTTAGTACAATTGCCCCCATTGGGTCATTGCACACGCCATTGGCTACACCTGGCTGATGTTGCTTGGTATGAACGCGAAGATTGAGGTGTCGGTGTCTGCATTTCACAACCTGGCGCTGATGTACATACATGCAAACATATACATACATACATTCATATGTGAGTGAGTGCAAAATTTGTGTTTTTTGGAAAATTATTGCGGCGCATTTCATTTTAAAAATAAACACTGCGCCAGTTTTTTACAAATTTCACAAAAATATTATTTTGCTGAAATTTCCGCTGCTCTGACCGTTGCTACTGTTGTTGTTGTAGCTGTGGTTGTTATTGTGCAAAAGCACATTCCAACAAGCACGGTCAGCATTGAACAACACAGCACAGCACAACAATGAAGAAAGCATGAGCACACACGCACAAGCATATGCATTACGCCTTCACACAAACACACGCAAGCACATGCACATGCATTACGCCTTCGACTCAAACACAGACACACTCTTCAAATTGATAGTGCCAAAATACGCATTTATGTACATACATACATACGTATGTATATATGTATGTACATACATACATGCAAGTGATCTGCGGCAGTCTTAAAATATAACTTATTCGTTATTTCATAAGTCCTTGAACATACATACATATGTACATATGTAAGTATGTTCATATGCATGCATGTTATACATAGCTAGCTTTCAAGAACTAAGAACTTGTATTTAAAAAAGATATTGACAATACGGCTCATACTCCAATTTCCATTTTGGAAAATATTTAATCGCCAACATTTTCAAATATTGTACTTAGGTACACACATATGTATGTAAATATACATATGTATGTATATATGTACATACATACATAAATATATTTACATGCCTGCTCATATTTGCGCGAAACACAAGAGAAACGGAAGCCCGATGGTTAGCAACAGATTCTCAAACACGACTTGATCGGAACTAGATATACTATACATACATATGTATGTATGTACATATGTATGTATGGGTATATACTAGCTTGCTTGACTAATGCAAACTTTAATTATCCAATTTCTCAACAACTGCGGTAAAGATGATACCAAATCTCCCACATTTCTCAAATAAACAAATCACATTCAAACCTTAATTTTCAAGTAATTTATATCATTCGTCTGTGAGCAATTTTCCTTTGTGTTCAATATATTCTCATTCTTTGTTTTTACTTTTACATTTCCCCAATCAATTTTTCATTATCTTTTACCGTTCTTTTCTGAAAATGATAGCTATAATTAGAAGTTTTGCATTTACATACATACATACAAAAAATTTTTGCACTTAAACTTAAGAAATTATGCATGAAACAAAAAATATGTACATACATATGTACATATGTATAGTATGTATGTATGTATGTATGTATGTATGTATGTATGTATGTATGTATGTTTGTATACACATAGTAATAATAAATTGTTGACTAATTAGTTATAATACATTCCTAAAAGAAAAACACAGCTGCATATATATGTACATACATACATACATATCTTCGTGGAAAGTAGTCTCTGTCCATTTACGACTCATGCAATAAATATAATTCTGGTATTTCACGCATTCTTTGTGACTGGTTGGATTGTGTTTATTAATTCCTGACATTTTAACTCTCGCCTTCTTTTTTGTAGTTTAAACACAAATCGTACAGACAATGCATTTTATAATATATTTTAGAAATTACATTAATTATGACTGTACTTTCTTTCATTTATACATATGTACATACATATGTATGTACACATGTTAAGGAGAAAATGCTTTCTTCTTTCTTGACGACAAATAACAAATACTACTTCCCATATATTTTATGTTTGTGGAAAAGGCTTATTAAGGCTTTTAAATTTCTGGCTGAGCTTCTGAAATAGATTAAGAATTTTGAAAACATTGAAAAATTGTCTGCTCTATATAAGAATCGATTAGATTATTTATGAATGCGTTTTTTCCTGTTTTCCAGGAGGGAACCCATCGATAAGTCTGTTAGACTTTAGTGGTATCGCGGTGCCGGGTGGCCCGACCACCAGTTCCGGCATTCCGAGCAGTAGTACTCCGCCCTCTCAGAACGCCAGCATGCCGGCGTCCAACAGCATGATGCAGATGCTCACAGATATACCCATGACGGACGATTTCAATGTGAATTTTGACGATGATCCGGCCATGGTGCGTCAAATGCTGATGTCTAATCCAGAGACTTTGGCTATGCTGCGACAATACAATACGCGTCTAGCTGAGGCCCTCGACTCGGGCGATCTGGACACCTTCACCCGTGTGTTGCGCGAAGATGTAGCCGCCCGCAAGCGGCGGAACGAACAGCGTCTGCGAATGCTGCATGCGGACCCATTCGATGAGGAGACGCAACGTTTAATTGCCGAGGAGATCAAGCAGAAGAACATACAGGATAATATGGCTGCAGCGATTGAGTACAATCCAGAGATATTTGGCATGGTAACCATGCTGTGAGTAGTAAAGTAGTGATACGATGCTTTTGAGTGTCCCTAATTCTCTAATCCGTGCCCTCTCCATTTTCATCGCAGTTACATTAATTGCAAGGTGAATGGCGTGCCGGTGAAGGCGTTCGTGGATTCAGGCGCCCAAACGACGATAATGAGCAAGGAATGCGCCGAGCGGTGTCATGTGAATCGACTGATCGACACCCGCTGGAATGGTGTGGCCAAGGGTGTGGGCACTCAGCCCATTCTCGGACGCATACACATGGTGCAGCTACAGATTGAGAACGATCATTTGACGTCTAGCTTTACGGTGCTCGGCCAGCAACCCATGGACATGTTGCTGGGCCTCGACATGCTAAAACGTCATCAGGTGTGCATTAATCTTTCTCCCTATTTCTTTCACTCTTCCACTGTGTGTATCTCTCTTTCTCTCTCGGTGGCTTATTTCGGGTGCAGTGTTTGATCGATCTGCAACGCAATCTTTTGATCATTGGCACCACTGGCACCTCCACGCCCTTCTTGCCCGAAAGCGAGCTGCCCGCTTGCGCAAGACTAACTGGCAATGCTGACGAGGCCGAACAGAACGCCATCGAGCAGGCCATTGAGCAGAGTAGACGGGAAGGAGGTGGCAGCAGCGGTGCGAATGCTAACACCATACTGCCTGTCGATAGCTTTACGGAGCAAGACGTCAGCGAATTTATGGCTTTGGGATACCAACGAAGCGAGGTATTGTCCGTGCTGCGATTATGCGGCGGAAATAAGCAGGCGGCCCGAAATGTGCTCGTCAACCTTCACGGCCGCCCGCGACCAGGGTCTTAGCTGAACACTCAGGACAATTCAGTTGCATTTACTTTTCAACCACTGCTCTGGGATCAATCAAAATAACTTTGCAATACAATACTAACACAATTCGAGCTCGGAATCTATTCTAATACATTCAACGAAATACTTTGAGGGAGAAACGTAAACACTGGCACCACAGCAAATTACGTTTATAATTTAGACAAATTTTAAAAGGATAATCAAGTTTTTATACCATTTACAATAGCTAATTGAGGGAAAGACGATGCCGAAACTATCATTGAAACGCCGCCGTCATACTATTAATGGAACTTTTTATGTTGAATGCCAACCGCCACGGCCTCGGCCTCAACCTCAGCAACGAAATAAATGCATTGAAAGTAATGCTTGACTTACAAAATTTAATACAATACTTATAAAATTGTATACTAGTATTTAAGATAAAGAGTACATATATATACCTTATAATTTGAAGTGAAGAGGGTAAATAAATGAGTATTGTTTTGGATTGGAATCTAACGTGTTTCGTAGTCGTTTCAAAATTTGGTTAATATTCTTAATCAGAGTACTTAACTCTATTTCGAAACTTTTGGGGGAACATTTTAACTTGTAATTCGAAAGCTAAACTATTAGCTACATTAACATTCAACTGACTTCAATCAGCGGACAGAACCACCACATTTAGCTGAGAATTGGGCATATTTTTGAAACTTAAAAGGTAAAAAAAATCTTCACAGCATTTTTTGAAGAAACAGTTGTTCGTTTATCCATTCATAGAAAGAGTATTGATGCCCAACTCCTTAATCCGCAAATAAATGTGCAATATGTTTGGATTTCGATGTGGAATTTACAAATTTCCAACAAGTTTTTGTATTTTATTGTTTACTATTATTATAAAATGTATCAATTATGTGGCTTTCACAAATGCGAGCCTGCGACACATACATATATACATATATCCATGGGCCGGTGATTCGGTTCTCATTAACGAAGTTTAATTTAAATTACACCAAAAAAAAAAACAATCTTATCTTCAGCTAGTATGTGAATCAGTTCCCCTGGTCGCGTAGATGGTTTTTGGAGTGGCGGGGGTACGGGGCAGCTGGAGTGAAAGGTATAAAAGTGTTTTCGCATTGCGCAAAGGGAGCAGGCCAGACTGCTAGTTAGTTGTTCTCTATTGTTTCCTCATACATATTTATGTACAAATGCATACGATTTGCAGTTGCTGTTGTAGTAGTGTTTGTTGTTGTGAAATAGCCATCTGTACTATTATTGACTATTCCTCGTCATCTTCTTCGTCATCCAGGCGGCGTGACGAGTTTTTATGATTGAACTCCTGCTCGGGATCGAACTGCATGCCTTCCTGATCAGCAGCATCCTCTTCATCGTCGTCGCCAGCGACCTGAGCGTTCTCAGCCTCGGCTCGCTCCAGGCGACGGGCCAAATCAGCCTCATCAATGGCAGTAACAAGTTTGGGTGCCATGACTACCTTGAACTCGCCATCGTATTCGATTATCTTGGCGCGTATGTTCTCAATGGCCACCTCCAGTGCCTTAAGACCCTCTGTCTTCTTCGTGGTGGCGGTTGTCATCACATATCTGGATGGGGGCAGAACAAAATTTTAAGCGATATAGATTGGCATACAGAGAATAATACATACAGCGGTGGCGCTATCAAATTGATCCGTATCGGCAGCTCCTCTGTGCTCAACTCTAGACCTTTAGTTAGCGACGCTTTCACAGCATCGATGCCCTCATAGCCATAGCAGGAACATTCGATGTCAGCACGTATTTTGACAGTCGGCGACACGAGCTTACGTTTAATGTTGCTGAGCAACACCTCCTTAGTATCGGCATCCAAGTTGCATTCGTCAAAAACGGACGGGTCCGTCACAGACTGCTTAAATATGTCGTACGCGACAGTTTTACTGTTGTATTTCTTTTCGAAATACCAGGCCGTCTTTTGATACAGCTCTTCGAGCTTTTCGCTGCTGTCGTAGCCCAATATGTCGGCCACATGGCGCAACAACGAGTTAATGGCTTTTGCTTTGGCGAAGCGTTCAGTGCATTTCTCCACATCTTCGGGCGACACCCGACGCTTGGACAAATCTATGTAGCCCTTCTCTTTATCCACACGTATGACAACAACTGGCTCAGTTTTGCCCACACGAATCAATTTGTTGATAGAGCGAATACGACGACGTGACAACTCCGAAAGTAATATCATGCCCTCAATGTTGTTGTATTCCAGCAGATGTACGTAAGCGCCCATTTCGGCAATAGAAAGCACATTCACCATGACGACATCTTCTACCTCCGGATATTTTTCTAAATAGAAGCGTGATGTGAGCGCCATATTGATACGTTTAAGCACTTATGATTTCAGAGTTTGCAACAAATAGTGAACAACGTTCAATAAAATTAATGCACTTGGCACAAAAAACGTGTACAATTTTGCCGAAATCGGGCGAAAGAAGAAGCGAGCGGCATAAGTGTTGTGCAGTGCCGCATTTAAGGTGCAATAACTGCGGCGAAACAGCAATTGTGAATACAGCAGATTGACTTTTGTTTAGCTGTACGTAGATACAATAAGTACATTTTGATCACAAATTCATGCTCAATATTTTTATTTACTTTAAAAAATGTAGCATTTACTAATTAGTTGGAACCATTGCGTTTCTGTTTACATTGTGCGCCAAATAGTTGCGTAGTCTGGCAAGGCTATGATTTATGTCAGCTGTAGTGCTAAACAATGTAATGTAATAAAAACATTTCAGCTTTTATTTGTATCCAAATGATCGGATTTGCATAGGGAATTTTATATAATTATATTGTTGTTTGCAAATACACATTTTTTAAAAGTGTGTGTGTTTGAAATAGAATTAATGATGCGGGAAAGTGCTGGCTAACGTCGGACGGCGGCATAATAGCGGCGAATTAGCAAGTGTTGCTTCTGCTTCGCGTGTGTGTGTAGTGAGTGGAAACGTGCGATTCTTTTGCGACAATTCAAACATTGAGAATAAAGTCAACGTAATTTAAGTTTAATATCAAATTTTTATTGATTGGAAATCCAGTGATTCCTCATTTAATTAATTGTAATTTGTTCGTTATTGTCACACAAGCCATAGGCTTGTAGATTGGGTGTATTTGCGTTTGCCGCTAGAACACAGTGTGTACACACTGGCGCGCACACACACTTGCCGACAAACGTACATAGCCATTCAGACTGCGGACTGCAGCGAATTCGCTCATTTGAAAAAAATAAAACATGGCTGGAAGAGGTGGTTATGAACACGCTAGGTAAATATTATTAAATATTTTCGTACTTGTGCACGCGGTCACGCCAAATATGTGAATAAAAAGTGCCAGTGCGGCCGACGAGTTAAATGCTTTAAGTGCAGACGTTTCTAAATGTGTAATAATGCACGCGGTTTGGGCAAAAGGCGAACCAACACACGAACACTCACACACCAGCGTATCACACATACCCTAAATGTGCGTACGTATTATACATACATATATACATGTATATGTTTGTTGTATGCTGGTGTGTGTGTCGCGTGTATGTGCGCAAGTGTGAGTGTTTTTTTTTACATTTTATTTTCTTGCTACCGTGCTGATTTTTATTCGGGATAGCGGTGCAAACAACTACAGCAATAACACAAAAACAACAAAAACGTTCTTACCAAAATTGTAGCCGGCGGAAGACAAATCGCCGTCATCTTCATAAGCTTTTTGCCCAACTGCCAATTGCCGCAAAAGAATGGGCAGGAACGGGAGCGTCAACGTCATAAGCCCAGTGTGCGGGTGGCGCCTCAAATAGCCAGACCAAAATAGACACCAAATGGAGGCGGCAATGTGCTCAAGCTTCCAGATCCGTCACCAAATAAATAGCCGAATATTGCCATTTCGGCAGAAATATGAAAGCGCGCGCTTTTTGTTTTGTTTCAACTCTGCGGTAAAATTATTTACATTAACAACGCGGCGTGTTGTGTTATTGTTGATAACACCGGATATCAACAATTAGAGTAGTACATCCGAGGAATTACAACTATTTAGACTGCCTCCGGTGTGACGTCCTTGCACCATCACCAGCTTTCGCAGTCAGACGCCGCCAGCCTGTCTCGTTGGGGCACACATAGTTGCATGTTTGTTTGTTTTTGTTGTGTTTGTTTATTTTTAATTTTTGTTGTTCACAGAGGTGGATATGGAGGCGAGCGCCATGCCAAGCAATTGCCCACTGAACCGCCTTTTATTGCCTACGTTGGCAACCTGCCTCAGGGACTGGTGCAGGGCGATGTCATCAAAATATTTCAAGACTTTGAGGTGAAGAATGTGCGTTTGGTAAAGGACCGGGAGACCGATCAGTTTAAAGGCTTCTGCTATGTGGAGTTCGAGACACTGGACAATCTGGAGCGCGCGCTTGAGTGTGATGGTCGCATAAAGCTGGACGATTTGTCGGCTCCGTTGAGAATAGATATAGCCGATCGGAGGAAAAATGAACGGTTGGTTAATGGGGCGCGATGCCCTTTTGAACATTTTGTCGAAGTTATTGAATTAATTTGTTATTCATATGCTTACAGTCCCGGGGGCGGCATTGGTGGCGGCAACGGCGGCGGAATCGGTCGCGATGGTGGTCGCGATGGCTTCCAGAAACGCGGACCACCGCGGCAAGGTGGCAGCAGTCAATCTTACAGCCGTGGTGGCGGCCGCGAGGGTGGCGGCGGCTCTGGTAATCGCGGCGATAGTAGAGGTTCGTACAATGATAATTATGGTGGTCACAGTGATAGAAGTCGTGGCGGCGGCGGCTCCGGCGGCGGTGGCATGAATAGAGGATACAATGGTAAAGCATTTTTATCTGCCGTGCAAGTGAACAACTGCAACAACAGCAAAATCAATCAACCAAGCAACCAACCAACCACACGTAGACGCTAGACGCATCTAAGTAGAGCCGCAAATAGCGCAAGTAGTTGAACAAATTCCAACGCATGGACCCATCAGCTGCAGTTAGCCCGTGTCCTGGTCCTGGCCTTTGCGCTTGGTGCGATCTGTGACCTTTATAATTCCCCATACACTTTCCTCTTCCGTTCTTCTGTCCTGCCTACCTTTTCCATTAAGTATTTTGATACTACCCGTTTAGTAGTTGGTTTGATTTGTTTTTTGATTTCCCGTACCTCGATCTTTAATTTAATATATTCCCATGTCCGTGGGCGTTGGCTACTCTATGTCTGAACTATCTCCCATTGCAAAATTTAATGTTGGTTCGATTTGCCAATTGTAATCTGCTTTAAAGCATTTGGAAATAGAGTTTTTAACTGCAGAACTATTTTAGTATATACTTAAAAAATAAAAAATTTTATTGAACAGTGAGCAGAGGGAAATCTAGCTTTCAGATCATATATTCCTTAGTAAATCTTTAGTATATGCTTTATGTATGCTTGATGCTTTGTCATAGGGAAAGTAAATAGGAATATATTTTCGTTAGTTTCTTGAATGCAGATAAAGCCCTGCTATCTTGGCAGTTGTGATTAAAAGTATTATTTGCGATACATCCACAACTATATAGAACCCTAATCAGTTGGTTCGCTATGTCAAAAGTGAAGTGTTATGACGGGAAGGAGAGACAAGTTACAAAAAAAAATAAATGAGAATCAAGGATTCCATTTACTTATCTATTAAATTTAAAACAATGATCATCTGAGAAGCGCGATGGAATTTTTAAATATTTGACTCACTTTGAAGGAATATTTCTTAGGAAGTCATGATTGTTGTAGTAAGTCAATCTATTAAAAAGGAACCCTTGCAGTTGAATTGCTACAGTGATTTGGAAATTCGACATAATTGAAAATAGGAAAGCTAATTTAAAGTCTCGCCACATTTTAGATCGTAGATAAAGTTTGTAAATTTCTATGTTTGTTCTTTTGATTATGTCGAGTACGTATTATTCTACCTATAATCGCAATTTTTTATCTATGCATTGCACCCAGCACGCTAAAGCCAAAATCGAGTAATCCTTTATTTGCCGCCTTTAACACGAAACTTTTACACACACACAAACAAACAAACACATACTTTATTGACACAATTAATTCGAATTTATTTTTGGTGAATTTGAAAGCACGCTTAATACGCCTATATAGTCTATAAACATAAACCTTAGATGGTGAGGCCAGCATGTGCTTCGATTCTCCTCGCGAGGCCCACTCATAATATTGCGGATTCTGTTCATTAATGCTTCGCTCTTCCACTTACAGATCGTCCTGCGAACCGAGGCCGTTACGGCAACTTCAACAACGACGAGCGTTTCGAACGCAATCATGATCGCGGCCAGCGCGAGGGCAGTTATGGCAATCAATCACGCGATGGAAACGACCGCTATAACAATTTCAGCCGGCATCGCGACCGCGAGCGTGGCCACTACAATCCTAACCAGCAGCCAGAGCGACCAGGAGCCGCTCCTTTGGGCAGTATAGGTGAGTAGAGCGCTTTAATTGGCAAACGCATTCAAAACTCATTTAATTAATCTCGACACATATTCTCCCTTCTTTTTCAATGTCTGCGTCTGTGGGTGGTGCAGATGACACCGAAAGGCCACGCCTTCAGCTCAAACCCCGAACCATAGCAGCCCCCATTAACGCGGTGGCTGAGACCAAACAATCGGCATCTATATTCGGCAATGCCAAGCCACGTGAGGAGAAGCTTAAGGAACTGCAACAGAATATCAATCATAATGGCGACAACTAGAGCGGGATGGCCCGTATCTATGCGCATATATATTATAATATATGTATTGTACATGATGATGACTTATTATGCTCTAGCTGACGTGCTATGTGTATGTAAGAGCAGCATGCATACATAACATATATGAAGAACACATAAATTAATATATATATAAATATATAAACACTATATACACAACACACACACATAATACATAAAAACATATGTACTAAAAAAGCAAAAAACAAAAAAAAAATCAACTAGCTCTGACGTCCGCCGGTAAGCAAAGTAGTTGAAAAAAAAAAAACCCAGACAACTTACTCTGTGCGCGTGTTGTAACAAAAACAGAAAAATACAAAAAAAAAAGAAGGAAGGAAGGAAGAAAAAAAAATGGAAATGCTATAAAAATTTAACAAAAATAATGAAAAGTCTATATATGTATGTTAGCCTGTAAGCAGCGGTAAAAGTAGTCTCGTGCATATGTAGAGCTACTATATACACGTGTATAGATGCACATACCGTGTATATGCGTGTGTATAGTTGGAGCCCTCTATGTGCACGCTGCTATTTGTTAGATAAGTAATGCATATGTAAACCAACAAAAAACAACAAAATGTTCTATCATTAAGCCTAACGTAAACAAAAGAAACAAAACACAAAAGAAAAACTATAAAAAAATGCGAAAAACGAAAACTTAAAATTTTGACAAGCGTTTGGCGAGCAGGCAGGCAGGCGGCAGGCAATTTATACAGAATTATTATAGAAAAACAAAACACAAATGAAACCAATAAGCAAAAAAAGAAACACCAACTATGTACGTATTACAAACACAATAATAATAATTATAACGAAAACAAAAACAGCTACAAAAACAGAAACAGCAGCAACAAACAGAAACTGATCTACTTATATACAACATACAAAAAGAAAGATGAACAAATGGTAAAGTTTGTATATCTGTATTTGTAAAACGGTGTAATCCAAGCAAAAGTCTAAGTCGCGAAACAATATGACAAAACTACAAATGTATTTGTAATATTTTTTTTTGAATTTTTTTTGTTAATACATACATATATAGTTAACATTATGATTTTTTTCTCTCCAACCACTTAGCATGCATGCGTCGCTAAAAAACAAGATATATATACACATACTACACATATATATATATCTAAATCTATAACTTAAGCACAGAGCGTTGACAAGAGCATAATTATGATATTTTGTATAGAAGATATACATATATATGTCTGTATGTATGTATGTAATTTTGAAAATACGCAAGCTACGTAATTAAAAAGGAAATTTGTATAATTATTAATTGTTTGTTCATTCGGCTAATTAAATAGGAGCGACCAGCATACAGCTTACGCAAAATATATTGATTGTAATTACGTAACATTTTTCTCGTAACGTTTTCTTATATTTTCGGCATTGATGATGACGCGCGAAAGCCTGTATATTAAATTTGAAAATAAAGCAAAATCCTTTACGTAAGAGAACGCATTTCGGCCTCATTTCTTCGATGACGTGCAGACACAGACACAGCGGAACCAACACTAAATAATGTCCGGTTCCACCAATGACCAAAATGGAATTCTTTCAATCAGCCTGTAACTGCATCGTTCGACGTTTTAATAATGAAGCGACTCTTGACAATTGAATTTCCAGCAATTTAATATGGTCTATTTAGTTTTTAAACGCAATTTTTGCTTGAGTTAAACAACAGTTAGAATAAAAATAGGCCTAACTTAGATTAAAGCCTTATCTTTTCCCTTCTATCTTATATTTGGTCTTTTTTTTTGCTATTTATTTTGTAAACGTATATATATATATAATAAACCCTTTTTTAACTAAAGTCCAAGCAAATATTTAAAAAGCAAACGGCTAACAAAAAAAGAGGTAACAAATAACGCAGAAAAGAAACAAGAACGTTAACTTATAGAGATATAATTTAGGCGCTGTAGCAAAAAATGATCGGCAGGTGGAAATTAAAAACATAGAACAAGATAAAACAAAAAGGCAAACAAAGCTTAATGTGTATCTAAAATTAAATAAAGTACATAGGAAGCACCCCTCCAGCTAGCAATGCAACTTTCAAATGCAAATTCATTCACTTACCACTTCTGTATGTAGTTAAGACGAGAGATGAAAATTTGATATGCATTTTAAACGGCGCCCAGCAACAAAATAATGTTTAAATACAAAAAAAAAAAAAACAAAAAAAAAACAAGAATTTATACCAAGAACACGCGTAGCAGTAAAACTAACAAATTAATTAAAAACGTAAAACTTTACCTTATATATATATAAATATTTAAAACATAGTGACAGATTGAGCCGATGGTTCAGTTAGTTGCAGCAAGCATGCAAGCATAGCAATTAAAATTCTAAAATTTGAAATTAACAAATTATAATTAATATAAACGAAAATAGGCGCCTAGCAAGCAATTCAAATGGTCAAGTAAAACATTTTATTACTTAAATACTAAATCGTGGCAGTTCGTCAGCTGAAGGTACACGGCAATAAGCATTAATTTATATAGCATATGTAGAGAGATAAAGCTAGAATATAGCCACGCATCTTTCAAAAACAAATTTCACTTCACCCAAACTTTCGAAATGCCACAGAAATGGCAACGAAATCGTAATATGTATTTTACAAGCAACATTTACTTACAAATTAGGTAACACATAAAAAAACCTCTTAATTGATAATGCGACATGTTATATGAAAAACAAAAACAACTACAAATCGAACATGAAAACAAAAAACACACAAAACGAAACATTAACAAGCAAACAAATTCTGCATAGCAATTTGCATTGAAAGTGCAACAAATTTACGGTTAACTAAACAAACATTTACAAATATACATAAATGCAAAACGAATTCAAAGCAACATTTAAAAAAAGGACAAACAACAAAAAAAAAAAAAGCAAGCGCAAACAACAACAGCAACAATTCAAGCATAATAACTCACTTATATATACATAATATATATAAATAATTAACATAAAAATCAAACTAAGGTTCTTAACTAAATTGATAAAGCAAATAAAAATTAATAGCGATAAAAACAATTCAAAACTCATTGCATATACAATATATTAATAAAAATATATTTTTTGTTGTTTGAACATTTTGTACGATATATATACACATACATATATATACATATATATATGTATATATATATTATAATTATATAAATATATATATGTATATATATTATATATAAATAAATAAAAGAAATTATATAATAAAAAAGAGTTTTCTCATTTTCAATTCCATTCACATTTCCATTCCATGGTTCATCCGATTTTAGTTGGATTCTATTTAAATATTGATATATTGGGCCTCTTTCAGTTACTTATCGAAAGAAAAGCGGATGTAAACCCGATATTGGACATCAATTAAGGCGAATCTATTCATCTGCAATTCCATGCACAGTTCGATTCCAGCGGTCGTTAGATTAGTTGGAGGCCATCAAAATATTTGGATTAAGTTTTAAAGGAACGTGAACTAATTAAGGTATTTTCGAAGAATTAAGGCGATACTGTTCCACAATCAGCAGCATTTAATGAAAGATTAAACAGCCAGGAAATTGTAGTTCACTGTTATTGGATGAGGTGAAAAGTTATAGTCCATCAAGTTAACCAAATCACAGCATGGCCAACTGAATAGTTTTAGAGGCATGAACTCAAATTTCTTTGAATCCGTGTTAGCAATCTTTTTTTATTATAATTTTATATAATGCAACGCAGCAAAGGACTTAACACAAAATATTTGGCCCTCAGAAACACGTTAGACATGTGACTGGCAGCTTAACTTAAGCAACATGTTTTAACTGTATTTTGAACTAGTCCAAGTAAAAAAAGAAACTGAAAACCTTTAAAATATTCTTAAAAAAGAGTAAAGATACTCTTAATTTTTAGTATTTTACTTCTTCCTCTCATATATTTAAACATCGAGGAATTGGTATATAAGGGCGCATTTTTCTCAATCAACTCACTTTCCTATTGTATACCAATCAGCTATATTATGTCCTCAATTCTTTCCTTTTAATTCCTTAAGTCCTTTCCCAATCCAGTAGAGCAATAATAGTAACTCGAATATTTTATACATAAAACCCCAAAGAAGCACAAATTATATATATTCCTGAATTTGTTCGCAAGACTTCGTTCGATAAGAATTCTTCGCATGACCCTCTTAAAGACACAACTGAAACAAATTCTCGAAATCCCAATAGATCCGTTTTTTAGATGATGTACCTTAAGTGGTATTTCTTATAAGAAATTTAATTTAAGTTTTTTAAATATTCTATTTAAGTTTGTCTTAAATACCTGATATATATATGAAATCGGAAAGGACATCTTAAGAGAGGACGTAACACACCAACTCCATTGCTACTTGACTGCTATACATATTTGAATAAAAAGGGTTTAATTCATGGTTATACATATGTTATAAATTTCTGGAGTATGTTGCATCTAAATATGTATATAAAATGTGTGCAATTTAAATACATATAAATATATGTTTGTACAAATATGAATACAAGTATTATCTACGATGTTCGGGTATGTATTAAACATAAATATACGAATGTTTTACATGTAGCGAGTCTCATCTTCGAACGTGCATTGAGACTCCATTTTGTTGCCGCCGTCCCTATATTCAGAGATGTATGTATGTATAAATGTACATATATCACTATATGCATGTATGGACAGAGTATGTGGGCAAGTGTGTGTGCGCGTGGGCGTGCGAAAGAGCGAGCTGCAGCATCCATATACAAAAGCCGAATGCATCAGGCGAGGCGTCGTTGCATCTGATTGGTTCGTGACTTAAGTGGCTTTGATTTGTTGCACCGAGTTCAAACGTGTTTTTTTTTGTGTGTTGAATGAATGCATACACAAATGTACATACATATGTACATACATATACATATGCATGCAAATGTTTACCGTTGCTAACGGCTTGTTCCTCAATCTCTCACTTGAAAACGATAACATTTAAATGTAACCATGTATCTCATCGAGATAAGCCATTAATACAAAAACAAATAACTTAATTGAAAATTTAAATGAAATAAACACGTATGGCACAAATTTAATTATAAATTCCATTGATGCCGCTATGAACTGTCAATTTGGTTCTTTTATCATTGTTGTTGTTATTGTTTTAGCTAACGCGAAAGTGGGGAGCAGCTTAAAATCCAACGGCTATAAAAAGCAACAAAAACAATGATCGGCAAGCCAAACATATAATTTTTGTTTCTTGTTTATATTTTCATCACAATATCAATGAAAGTTTTTTATTTATGGATGGGTATACATATATAAATACAAAAGTATATTGTGCAAAAATGTTTGATATGTATGTATGTATGTATAAAGATGACAACTGGTCAGAAACAAGTTTAAGTTCAACTATCCGCGCTTTATTCCACATTTCTAACAGCTGCCCAACAACACCAACAGAAGCAAAGACACACTTGGATACATTTGTGTACATACATATGTACAGCTACATATGTGCTGAAAAAGTAGCTCATGAAATTGTATGCATAAATGGAGCCTAAGAATTGGACAATTAAGCTGTTCGCGCCATCTACAGGCCTCCTAGACGTTCGTCAACACTGAAGGACATGCTCTCCGACAGGTGGGTAGCGGTTATCGATAGCTTATCAGACGTTAGAAAGTGCGCACGTACATACATATGTATGTATGTATGTATATATTTATGTGTTGTAATTTAAGCTAATTTAGTTAAAAGCTAGTCTCAGGCGTGATCTGTGATTTGTGTGCGACATGATTGTATAATTTTATTCTAATTGTATACTTATGCGTTCCTACTGTAGACGTGTTTGTGCGGTAAATTGAAATAAAAAGAAAACCTCAAATCGAGGTAAATAAATGCGTGACGAAGCTTGACGGCGTCCTACAAAACTATTGATATGCGTTTTCTTATTTAATTCGTCACTGCATGGACTTCTGATATACAAACAATAATAATCACGAATTGTGTCGCATTTGGACAATTCTGTAGTTTGTCAGTGGACAATGAAAAAGACAATCAGTGTCCACCCATTGCCGCCCCCCCTTCTCCTGACCGTGTTGCCACATTATGCGATACGATCGCAAGAAATTGACGAGAAAAGTTGCCTGCTGCCGCTGCTGCTGTTATTATTATTTTTGTTGTTGTTGTTGTTGTTGTTTATGTTGCATGTCTGCACGCGCAACGCACTTTGCTGTTGTTGTTGCTGCTGCCTGGCCTTTTGGTTTCTTGGCTTGTTGGTTCTTTTAGCTTGACTGACGACCAGAACGACACCTTCTCCATACAAAATCAGGTGGTGGTGGTCGTTTGGCTGCTGACTCCAATAGAAGCTGCTGTAAAAAAGAAGATGTGTGTAATGTAATGGCCTCTTTTATTTTTGTCCATGTGTGTGTGCCCACAATTATTATTCAAGTGTGCGCAGCCGCCGCAACATTTCTCTCTGTCAATTGATCTTTTGTTAAGTTTTCGTGATAAAACACTTGTGTGCATTTGTAAGTTTGTACATACATACATGCATACATATACATACACCTACTTATGTACAGTTTTGTGTGTGTGTGTGTGTGCGTGTGTGCGAATGTTTCTGTGTGCACACCCAACTAGTTCAGCATGACCAGAAAGGGGTCTTGGTAGGGAGTGAGTGCTTTAAGTTCTTAGCTGCAAGACAATTTATTATGTTTCATTAGCATGCGAAAAGAGTGGACAATAAACGGCTATAGCGTTGGCAGCATTTCGTCGCACTAGTCGCACCGACTAATTCAGCAAGGTAGAGCTACAGCCCCAGCCACCATCATAAAATACTCGTACATATGTATATATAAGACCAGAAAGTCCACAGGTCAGGTCACATCGTGAAGCTGTGTCGCCGTATTGTGGTTTTTGTTTGCCACATTTTTAACGTTACATTTTACGAGTATCGCTTTGCAAAAATCCCAATAAATTTCATTGCGTTTGACATCTCGTAGAAATTTGTTGTCAGAGGTCAATTTCCCTTTTCTGGCAAACGGTCTTCGAAGTTTAAGACGTTTGTCCATTTTTGGGCAAAACGTTTCGATATCTCAGATTTCATGGTACCCTACAATTACAGGTGTTTCGGTTGAGCTAGTAACACAGAAACGCACAAGCTAAGCATGTATTTTATTATTATTTGCATAACACAAATATAATTTCGTAAATTTTGGTTCTTAAATTACTGCTTTTTGTCGTCGTATTTGGTAATTATTAATTAATTGTGATAGTGCTATTATGATAATTACCAAAGAGATCATAATTTTCCTACAATAGAACAATAGATTGGGATAGCCGGAGTGCGAGTGTGTATAAAATAAATAAAATAAACTTTTACCATAGAAAAGATATTGTTAGGGCCGAGGAAACTATAAAATTAGACGACCCTACATTAGGCGCTTAATATACAAGTAGGTACAGCGGATAGCGTTCACTATAGGGCCGAATGTAAATAGCGAATTGGTAGCAACTTTCTTCTATGTATAAATCTAAGGTCGCTGTGAGTTTGGCTCAAAGTTAACATGTTGTTGGGGATCAATCAGAGTTGCGATACGCGACCAAATTTGCCCCCTGGCCATTAATGATGTCAAATCCAATCCATTGACCCCGAGCGACCGAGTGACTAAGCGACCGAAAGTTGCGCAGAAGAATAGGCGACTAGCGAAAACGAGTTCTAGAAATACTGACCGGTCTGATGCTGGAAAGAAAGCAACTAGAGGCCCGCCTGGCCGGGGCAGGCCAGACAGAGTTATGAATATTTCTTTGCTCAGTTCGCATTTTTGGCTTGCTGTGCTTTTGGCCAAGATCTGATGAATAATTCAACGCCCTGTTGGTCCGAAGCCGCTGTGTTTGGTAATTAGCTTTGGGTCAATAGGTCTGTGGCGAACTAATATAAGCAGGCCCAGCAGCTGCGATTTTACTTTAGTCGCTCGCAAAACGCCATCGAGATGAGAAATCGCTGCTTGTTGGCACTGGCCGCCATTGTTTGGCTGTCGGTCGTGTCGGCTGAAACGAGGATTGAGGTGGACGAAAACGGCGATGAGTTCGAGCTGAAGCGTTTCTACATCCAAGGACGCCAGCTGACTGGCAACGGCAGCAAGTCGCAGTGCATCGTGACGCGACGTAAACGGAGCGGACGAAGCAACAGCGTCGGTGCCGTCGTGGTGCCTTCAGTGTCTGTGAGTTCACCAAAGCTGAGCGTATCCGATGGAGTCGATGCTCAAATGATGGAGCATCGAGAAGGCGTGGCCATTGGCGGCGCCGATGGCGATATGAACAAGCGGCGCTATGTCCAGCTAACTGCAGTGTCGCTTAACGGACAGCAGCTGGAAAATCTGCAACATGACGACGAAGAGGATGACGACGAGGATGGGGACGATGATGAGGAGGATGCCGATGAAGATGACATCCATAGGGCTGGTGAGCTGGAGCAGGGTGGACATCAGTCGTTTGTGCCCGCTGCCCTGGCCCTTCCACTGGCCGATAGCTCGGCTACTCAGCTGCCCCAGGGCATCAGTGTTGTGGCCAGCGCAGCCACGCATGCCAATGTTGGCGGCGATGCGGGCATTGTCGTGGTCCATTCGCGCCAGCCCCCAAAGGTCAATCCGGACACACATGCGGTGTTCGAATTAAAGCCGGTGCAGGCCGACGAACCACCATTCTTATGGGATGACGGGGACTACGATGATGATTACGAGTATGGCTATAACTATTATGGCGATGAAGACGACTACGAAGAGGACGACTATGAGAACGACCAAGACTTCCCAGAAAGGTTTAACGAGCATGTTATTACCGAGGATAGCCCTGTGAGTACCACCGCTATTTGGAGTACAGGTGACGGCGATGACGGCGACATCCATCCCGAAGTTGACGACCAGCCAAGCAGTAGCAATGACAAGGACAAAGACAATAGCAAAAACAAGAACAAAAATAAGAACAAGGGTAATCGCCGGCCCAATAAGCGCCCCAAGCCGAAGAAGAAGAAGCAGAAGCAGCATCAACGAGAGGATCCATATCAGGCAGCACCTCAATCGAACAGGCAGCGACCTAACAAGAATCGCCATCCCTATCCCGTAAAACGTCCCAATGACGATGTCGGTATGGGCGGTATAATGGAGATAGCTGATGCTCTCAATGGGCAGCAGCAGCCACCCAAAAGGACAAAGAAGAAGCAGCAGCAGCAGCAGCAGCAGAGCGAGAGCGGCAATGTGAGCAACAACGAAGACGACGGCGACTTGGAAATGCCAGCACCCGTAAAGAAGCAACGACCCAGCAGCTCGCAAAGCAACGCAGTGTCCAGCTCGGCCAGCTCCACTCTAGCCAGCAAGAAGAAGAAGAAGCGTCGTCCCTCGAGTAGCAGTAGCGTCAGTTCCAGTAGCAGCAGCAGCAGTCCCAACAAACGCAACAAGAAAAAGTCCACCAAGAAATCGAAGAAGAAAAAGAAGAAGACCACAAACAGTATCAGAGATACAAAGCGACGTCGCCAGCCCAGTGGCCTGCGCCCCATGGGAGGCAATAAACGTCGTCGCCCCCAACAGCCCTATCGAAAGCAGAAGCGTCGTCGCCAGCAATATCAGAAATATCAGCAAAATCAGCAGCGTCGTCGTCGGCGCCGCAACAAGTATCCTGTCCGGGCGCAATACTTCGACAATGAACCCATTGTTAATTGCATTTACATCAACAAGGATCCAACCACCACCACTACGCCGCGTCCATTCTGGAATATTCTGGGACGTGACGCGGATTCAAAGGGGACCATTGATCCAGCCGCCGAACAAGCCGTTCAGCAGGCAGTGCGACGCAACGGGGACTTTGGGGCTCGCAAGCGGGCCAACCTGCGCTTCGTCGGCTAGTCGCTGCCACAGCCTCCCCATAGTTTAGGTGAAACCTTTTATTTATTTATTTATTTATTTTTTATTTATTTACGAACGATACTTTTTTTTTGTAAATTCTAATTCATTTTTTTTTTTGATTAAACTTTTCTTTAAACCATTGAGTTCCACATACGAGAGAGGGGTGTATAAATAATATACACTGAGAGAAAAAATTAAGAATTGTGTACCTACACAAAAGAGTTGCAAAAATGGTTCGTTGGCTCTCTATTCTAGGCACAAATCGGGGATTTACTCGGAAAAAATGGATGTTGTTTCTTATTTTTATAATTTTGTAAAGATGAATAATCAGTTAAACACACAATTTTTAAGTGTGTATACATATTTTGGCATAGAGTTGAGCGAAAAGCGCCGAACTTGTGATTTGCCACTTCTTTCTACTAATATGTCCCAAATAGCAACTGGGACAAATTGTTCAAAATCTCAGCCAAAATTACTAAACTGTTATTTTCTTAGCAACGGTAAATTGGCTCTGATTTGGAAACAATTAACACGTGCGGAATGAAAGTTCGAAAAGTGATTTGGATAGGCCACATTATCTGGAAGCACCAAACTTTTGCTCTGCCAAAGAAGGTGGACGGTATTTGTATTTGTCTACAAGTTTTAAATTCAATATTTCAATGACAGCATTGCGAACTCATAAGATCGATCAAATCTACCCACAACGTGCATAGCAATCAAGTGCTCACAGTTCGTATTTATAACCCATTTGGGAATTAAGGTCTAAAAAAGAAAAACAAACCAAAAAATGCCAAGTCAAGTTCCTGAACGCAGAGAACATGAGAGCAGCAGGCAAAAATAATGCTCCCAATTTTTACATTTCTCTTATACACATAGCCCTCGCTTAACGCGGGGGTTACGTTCCTTGAAAACGTCGTGTTAAGCGAAATCGCGTTAAACGAGCCATTTATTTCCATACAAAATGAGGGGTTACGTTCCTAGACTTCGAAAAATGCTACAAAATTTTTTTAGTGTTTAAATTTATTAGTTTCAAAAACATAAAAAGGTTTATTCAAATGGCAAAAGTTTTCAAAATTAAAAAGAGAACACGTATGTATTAAAATAAAATGAAAATTCATTTAGTGGCATTTATAATCAGAGCAGTTTTAGTAATTAACATTTTTTATATGGTGGCTCCCCTTGCGTGGCAACAAAATCTGTAATTTTCGACTGTTTAGTGGCTCTTAAAGATTCATAGCAGCTCTCCTTATATGGTTTATTTTTCTGTGATGTAGAAACTGCAATTTGTATAATTTACTTTTTACCATTTTATTTCATTCAACGGTTAAACCATTTTACTTATCACAAGAATTTTAATCTTACTATGTGCGCGTCTGAAGAAATAAAGTTTTGCTCACCTTAGCAACTATTTATGTATGGACATACGAGTATGCACTCATTCTTACTCTGATGGTGTAGAAAGTGGGACTTCCCTTTTTCCACACACATCTCATGTGTGGTGATACATACCATACCCAAAGATACTCATGCAATATTCGACAAAATAAAAAAATCGATTTTGTCAATCGCGTTAGAACGAGGTATTTCACTGCGTTAAAAGAGAAAAGGTAGCAATTTAGCATTAAAAGAGTTAGCGTTAAGCGAGGGCTAGGTGTACTTAATTCAATATCAAAATGATTTATTAGTTCAGCTTGATAAAATTGTAATTTGTCCTTGAAATTCGATTGTTTTTTATTCCTTTTTACTCCACTTGGGAGCTTGGGGCTTCTACAAGCACTTTTCCCATCTAACTCTATGTTTCTAGTCGTCTGTCTAGCTGTCTCCCACATGTGGTGTTGTTTTTGGGATAATTCCTGAGGGGTGGTCCGCCGCCATGTTGTCGCCTTAGGTCTGCCGACCCGTCTGCTTCCTTGGGGGTTCTTCCAGTCTAGCGCCATCCTTACATCGACATCGAAGTGGAGCCGTTTGGATTCATTTGTCTGGTATTATGTTTCTATAATCATTTTAGTTGTCAGTCGACCTGCTGATTGACCAGATGCGGCTAAATTCGCTTTTTGGTATCATTATAACTTTTTTGTGGACCTTTTTTATTCACTCTTTAGTTGATTTCGTCCTTCAAACATTTAAATACATTTTGAGGTGTATTTTTGATCTGAATTTTTTATCTGTGTTTGTTCAGTGTATATGAAGAGCTTTCCTATCTTTTAAGTTGATATTAGAATGTTATATTAAGTTATATCATATATATTTTAATTTTTTTATTTTAATATATGTGTATAAAATGTTAAATTATATTTTAATAATTATAATCGACAGAGCTATTGTTGATATACTAAATAAATAAATAAATAAAAATTGGAGGGCTGAAAAGATGGAAAGCATTATTTTGGAGACGAATCTATCAGACTTCCTGGGCATATGTGCTTAATCAGTCACTAACGCACACGGCTTAAATCGTAATACAAGCCCTAACCACAATTTTTGGGTGCGATACTACACTGAAGGGCTTTGAGCTTTGGTTTCACAGGGATTTATTGGCAAACTTGTAGAAAGTATGATCAAGCGCATTAGTGGGTTAATTAAAGCTAAGGTTCTTTGGACAACATATTATACTACATATGTATATTAATAATTATATAATATATTAATCTCAACATTTTTAAGAAACGTGGGTACATTTTCATGGGTTTTACAGGTGCTTAAAATGAATGGGTACATATAAATTAAGCTGTCATGTGAAAAGCCTAGCCACCCAAAATTGTGTTGCCATTTCATTGATTTTGTTGTGCATCGGAAAACTTGGAACAAACACCTGTTCTACTCACACCTTAAAAATTCAGCATAGGTGTAAAGGTAATATGAATCTGTTCCTTTTTTTTTGTGCTGTCCGCTTGATGTGTCCTTTTCAAGCCGAAAGGCACCCCGACGAGTGTCGTGAGATTTGCACAGCGGCCAGGTACGGGTGGATGGGTGTGTGTGTGGGGGTAACAGGATATATGGACGACTGCACACACACAACACACACACACACACTCGATGGGACACGTGGACAGCAGAAACGAGCCACGAACCTGCTGCTTTTTTTACAATTTCCGTCCATAGATGGCGCTCGATTGATTTGAAATGTTGCCAGAAACGCCGACGAAGACGATGACGATGAGGGACAGACGTTTACGCTGCGGCATTTCCGTGCGTCCTACGACAGGCCACGCCATTAAATTTAGTACCCCCACACACACACACACAAATACGAGTATGCCTATATACATCCATATACGAGTGTGCTCGTATTGTACAATGGATCGATATTCGTGTCCAGCAGCAGCAGCCAGGCAGCAGCTGTACATTACCTGCAAGTTGCGGTTAAAAAATAGTATCTATGAGATAGAAACTACAGACACACATATATGCACACACACACACACACACATACGTGAAAATGGGCGCGCACTTGGTTTGGCTTCCGCCCATTATACAAATTCCACCCATGCCCATTCCTTCTGTTCGCTGTTTAAATAAAAAGCGTGTGCACACGGCACAGGAAAACTCAGAGCAGGACAGAACAGGACAAAAAGGAGAGCTGATGCCGCTGTTGACGTCAACGTTGGCGACAGCGACAACGACAACGACAACGCCAACGATGACGTTTTGTATGGTTGATTCCCTGTCGAGTTTCTGCGAGGGTTGAGTCTGCTTACAGAAGGCTTTCTTTGGCTCCAGAAACCTGACCCGCGATGACTCTTTCTGAATTGAAACCATCCACGACGCATTGATATGCTACAAGCATGTCAGCAACGATAATCTACTACATTTTTCTAAATTTTCCACAAATCTGTGATATAATTTGGTGATTTGTGTAATTTATCTTCAGCTTAGGACGTTCTTGAGAATTGGAGATAAACAGTTCCATTATAACTCGGATTATGTTAATATGTTTACATCTACATATTATTTGATTAGTTCACACACAATTAAAACACAAATATTTTACCATCATATGCCATAAAGATCTTTTATAGATTTATTATCATTTATGTTTATGTTTCCCAAATAAAATGAAGAAATTATTCTGTTCTTTAATAGTCTGTGTTAATAAAGTGATAATATAAAAATGATAATATTAACGTTCATTTATAAGTAATATTAACGTTTATTATGATGTACATAATGACCTTAATATCGAATCATTTATTCAAACTAATTTTAAAATGATAGAGGCTCTTAATACAATATTCACGTTTAACAACTTTGCCTCTAATATAAGTCATTTGCATTTTTAACAACAATTTTTTTGTTGGCAGAAAAACTTTAAAACTGCCTGAGCTATTAATATAACTCGTATATTGATATCCATTCGGTAAATGGATACATGGATACATGGTTGTATGCACGTGTTGAATATTTTATATTTAATTTAATTAGTTAATTAAATAACTTTTTTTTAATTTCCTTTTTTGTGTACTATCGGGCTCGACTGTAGCGTTCTATCTGATTTTCTTTTATATCGACTCTTTATTTTCAAATCTGTCACCTTATAATTCTCAACTAGTTCAAGCAACTATATAATGACCTGCCACTAAAATGTTCTGATTTCGTTTGTAATAGTTGCAATTCATATAATTTTATTTTCATTTATTTTCGAACCGACTATGGCATTATATTTTATTTTTAATTTTAAAAAATTTAGTTCCTATTCGTATTGTTGAAGTGTTGGAAATTTTATGAATACTACACGTATTTGTTTGGTCATTTCTATTAAGACTTCTGACGGTAGTTTACCTTGAATTGTTACATTTTGTTTTATTTTTTAAAAAATGTAGTACCTATTCATATTGTTGAAGTGTTGGAAATTTTATGAATACTACACGTATTTGTTTGGTCATTTCTATTAAGACTTCTGACGGTAGTTTACCTTGAAGTATTACATATTTTTAATTAATTTAAAAAAATTTAGTTCTTATTCTCTTGCTTATATTGAGAGTCAGTGTTTCGGCTTTCTT